CACAAAAAGCAAATCTCACATCCTAGTTGAAGACAAACCGAGGCTCCCCTGGACATTTCACCTGAACGGTTTAGGGCCCGCTCACTTCATGACAACGGTTGATCGACATTCCGAGAAGGGATGACAGGAGAGACCCCGATGCCCTGCGACAACCAGGCTCTGAAAAATCTCGTGAAGGGGTTCTGGAGCTTGGTCTCCACGTCCCCAGATTTCCCCGCAAACTGGACGGGCAGCTAGCGATGCGAGTTTTCATATCGGGCTGCCATGACCTTGAGTTGGTGCTGGGCTGCTTTATTATCTCGTAATAGTATCGGGGTTTTGACTAAAAGTCGGGCCAGGGGAATTCTCAACAAGTCTGGCCGACTGTTTAACGGGCACCCTTGAACTCCAATATCCCCGACAAGAAGATGGAGAACCCTACCAACCCCGCGCCTCTTGGTGTTAGTGTGTCATGAGATTACCACCGTGGGGATGGAATGGCGCTCATGTGCATGGCCCGCCTTTAGAGTTCGGCGTCCGAGTAGACTCTCTGTCTCGGACCGTCACCGTCGCTGATGAGCTGGCTCGTGCGGTCTTGACAGTCGATTATTTTCAGCTTCCTTGTGCCGAGCTTCAGAGTCGTCAGGCCGTCAAGGGCCGAGCCCTGGGATAGTGAGACGATGGTTCATCCGTTGAGAAATCAGCCACACCACCTCCTTATGCAAGGCTTGGACGGTTGTAGAAGGCAATTTGCACGTTCGAAAACGTTCAAATCGCCGGCGATACATATCAATTTCATGTGCAGACGCACATGCCCTGGTAGCCATGAAACCTCGTGGGCAAAACGCCGCTGCTGCATGGCATGGCATGGCAGAGCCTGGCTCTCCGCTCTGGCGGTGCAAAAGTTCCACTTGATTCACATCAACAGTTTGAAATGGGTCTCGTGCGCAAACGATGCTCCGGGAAGAGTCGAGGGGAGGCTGATATCTTGGCACGTTCTACGTCGACCGTTCAAATTTGCATTCCTGACTCCTTTAAACAAAGCGGGACGGTCATCATCACAATGATGCTTCTCATTCGTCCCCCGCATTCCCCAGACTTTCACGATGCAATGGAGACCGGCTTAATAGTAGAGGGCGGAGCAATAGCACTGCAACTTACGAAGCATGTTCTCCACCACAGAATGGATACAGTACGGTACTTCGAAGCGCTACAAGCAAAAGGCGGCATCGTATTAAACCGAGTGCACGGCGTCAATATCTCGAACCTGTCCTATCAACACGAACCATTGAGACTCTCAACCCAAATCTTTAGTGGCCACTGCGACAAGTTTCTCTTCGTCTTGCTTAACGGAGTGGAGATTCCGCCTACGTTACAGGCTTACAGCTGGACGCGATGACATTCGAAGAACTCACTCCCCTTTTTTTCCTTTCATTCTCGCCGCTTGTACGTAATATTCAAATGCCTTGCCTTGGTACTGTACAAAAGCCGACGAAGGGCCGGTGGTAGCCCAACCCATTAGATGACGAGGCTTCGAAATCTCTTTAACTTTGAGTTTCTCCTACCACTTAAAATTGCATTTGTACTACTGAACTTGGAACAGTTTCTTTCAGCCAAGTGGCTAGTATAGTACTGTAATCTTGAGTTGGGCGATCAAAACCTGAACCTGCATTCATTTGGCTCCCGTCACTTGCTTTACCGCCCGGTGTGCGGCCTTTACTGTGTGGGGTGGGTGGCATGCATACTTCTGGAAATCCGGGGAAGCGCGAAACTACTGTATGATTCGCACGCAAAAGATGGAAGAGTTGGTGAGGGTGGTGGTGGTGGTTGCCCGAGGTTGGTTCAATCTGACGGCGGAAACCCTTCCGCAACCCGAGCAGAGGGCACCTACTGTAGGTTGTCGGTCTTCTCGGTGCGCGGTCGACGATCAGTGAGTGATCGGCACTTGGTACTGTAGCTTGATCGCCAGTCTGACCTAAACTGTGGCTTGACCAAGATATCCAATCACTCGAGACAACCAAGCTATTACAAGATGACGACACTGATGATGTCGCCGTGTGACAGTTTTGAGATAAGTGTTTGTGATGTAGGGTAAGGACCAACAACATCGATTATCTGGGCATGGCAATGATGGACTTTGTTCTCAGAAATCCGTTGGTCTGGTTGAATCCTCATGACCTGGGATCGAGATTGTTTCACCAGTCAGAAGGGCAAACTGATGTTCTACTGCACATCACCAAAGATCATTTCTCATTCGAGGAAATATGATGCTATACACGTTAGCTATGACAGCTTGATGAGAGCTTTTGGTTATCATCTTCAAGATCCCAAGCCGAAGGAATATGATCGCGGTCTCGCTATCACAAACCTAACTGAGAAACATTGCTTCTTCACAGGTAGTTCCTGTATGACTTGTCTATCGGCGGTTCCAGAGCACCCCCACGAGTTACCTTGGGTACCTAACAGGGCAGCAACTTCGTTTTGTGGGAATCTTCTGCGACGACACAGACAGTACTCTCCATGGCTCAATTTCAAATCCATGATCAATAGTTCAGGGTAATCACCAACCGCTGACCAACAGCAAGCGCAATGCATCGAGTGCTTTCGTCTGACAAGCGACAAGCATTCAGCCTGAAAGTTGCTCCTCGACAAATTTTCGGCATTAGTTCTTCACGAACCCCCATCGTCTCGTTCCAGAAAAGTCTCGGACAGTTATCACAACTGGCGATAAGCATTGCCAGATAACGACGAATGACACACTAGCCACTCACTGCTTGGCGTCATCCTTCATTCTTGATACGATCTCTTTCCAGCAGGTTTATGGTTGGCACGACATCGGTAAGTCCGGGACTTCTAGGCAACTAGATAAACTTGCTGTCAGAGAGGCGATTGGTTTCTGTCCCTGTCAGAACCACGTTGACACGGATCGCTGCTGACATGCTGATCCAAACATGTTTGTGCAGCTTCAAGGGCTTACAATAAAGCTGCAGTATATCAGGCACCGATTTAGCTTGAAAATCGAACGCCTAGCTGGAGAAGCCTTATTTGCACTTTAACCATTATCTCAAACCGTACGGCTCTTGATACTGCAACGAATATTGACTCGGTTTTGGTCAAACACAGTCAAACTGTTGTCGCGGAAGCGATAATAATCTGTCATCTGCATGCGAGCTGTGCTTACGTATGATGGTACCCATCCCGCGTATGCTTCCGGTGCTGCGCTCGAGATGCTGGAGAGACTATGCGATTTGTCGAGCCTTCTTCAATTGTAATCGGGGCTGACTTGAGGAAACATTGACAAGTGTCATATGAGAGGGTCGAGTTTTCTTTGTACGACGTCGGTTATGATCATGGAGCTTTGAGAGAGCATTGGTGGTGAGCCTAATAAAGACGACACGACGGATGACTCTGACTTGTGGATACTGCTGTTATAAGCGCAACAAGGTCTTGAGGACGGGATGATGAAGCAAGTAAGGCACGGGACGTCCTTTGATGTAAGCTGTTTCGCAGAGTTACAGTCAGGTCAAGCTGTGGTTTGAATCTGTCCATTTGACCTTTCGTTCGGTACTTGAAAGATCTGCGAGTTGCTATGCAACGTGGTAGGTTTTCGTTTGTATGAGTCTGTGTTGTTCTGGCGTGTAAACTTCGATATTCGAAGACAGTGGTTTAGTTGGAGAGACAGGCTATCGCTTACTTGACTGTGAAGGTTGAGAGGGTAGCCACTGTTTGTCTCGTTGAATGATTATACCAGGAGTTTATCAACGAAACTTCTAAGACCTTTGTGAAGTCTCTACTTCGGGAGATATGCGAGACAAAGTTTGAAGCAGAAAGACGAGTTTGGCCATCTAAGATCACAAAAGATTCTATCAAGTTCAATGGCATTCACAAAGAAGATCTACAAACGAGGAACAAGTATCCTCTATGCAGGATCTGACTGTATGTCGATATACGATGTGCTCTTGGTGTCTTTCGGTGCTGCCCTCTGTTCCTGAACCCTCAAGTCCAGCTTTATTCGGTCTGTTAATCGGGCTAACTTGGGAGTCGAGTCTCGGGATACTAATGAGCAACTTGTAGGAAGTTATAATCACCTAGGTTATATTGAGAGTTCGAAGTCTCTAGTGGGTCTGAACATCATGGACGATCTGGCTGGACATGAAGATGGATCAATAAACAAGGGGCGACAGCACAGTTGTCAATTTGCTAGTGTTTGATATTGTCTGCCTAAACGCAATTAAAGTCGAGATTCGTTTATTGAAACATAGTGATGTAGTCGATCGCTCTGCCAATCTCTTGTTAAACTGGTGCCTAGTTCAACATATGAAAGGGGTTAGATTTTGAGAAACGAGATAAGGGGAAACTAGGCAGCACTTTAAAAAGAGGACATCGTAGAATTAGATCCTATAGGATTGAATGACTTAATGAAAAAGAAGAAACTATTTGAAACGGCTGCCTTATGATTGCGGATAGTTTTGCAGATGGTTGATGTTCGCGTGCCCGGAAGTGTAGGGTAAACTGCTTCCGAAGTGAAGATACTATCGGTGTTTGCAAATAACGTCACAATTCGACAGGGACTTATATCAATTAAACCTAGAGGAGTAATTGTATAATTCAAAAAAAGATATAAGTGTTAGATCAGGTGGTTAAGAGCACCAGACTCGTTGTTTAATAGTTGATAGAGTTTGCGGTATAAGCCACTCCTGGTCTACAACAAGATACTCCCGCTTCTCTCAAAACATAGCTATTGTGGCACAATGATTTCCATAGAATATGTCCATGTATCAACACCAGCCAGTATTTCATGTTTTGTCATTTATCTGAACTGATTCAAAGTCACGTGTAATTAAATCAAGGGTTGCTGGGTTAGCGCGCCACAACAATGCAGCTGTATCAGATCGATTTAGCGATTAGGCAACACCATTTATAAGAGTATATGAAGAAGACATTCCGACTATGATATCAAACTGTACCAATATCATAAACTCTATATCCTCAATCAGTACCAGTAACTCAAAATCATAAACATGGAGCAGTTTATTCTTGACAACGCCCAGCGCTTCGAATACCTAGTAGAACGTTTCAAACCAGCACCCGCCAACGCCAAGCCAAGCGATGAAGAGCCCAATCCTGATATCACCATCGCCACTCGCATTCGACCCATGATGCAAGACGAGAAAGAAGAAGGACAACTCATTGGCGTTTTCCCTCGAAAGAACTTGCCTGGTACGCTTGACTTGCATGAACTGAGGAGACCAGTCAGGGGCCCTCCTCCTCTAGTCGTAAGTCTAACATGCCACGGTCACTCAGAGATACTAACATGAATAGTCATGGAACTACCGTGTTGATAAAGTGTTCGACTCTGATGATACAACAGAGGGTATCTATCAAGAGCTTGTCAAACCTCTCGTGCCATGGGCCTGGGGCGGCGGAGTTAGCACCATGTTCGCCTACGGCCAGACTGGTTCAGGAAAGACATACACCGTCAGTGGTCTCGAGTGCCTCATCGCGGAAACTCTGTTCTCTGGTGAACAGAAAGGCACTCGAAACATTTCCATTTCTATCATCGAGCTCGCAGGTAACTCGGCCTTTGATCTGCTCAATTCTCGGAAGCCCATCTCTATCCTTGAAGATTCCTTTGGGTCAACTCATCTTGCAGGTGCTTCTGAGTTTGTTGTTAGCGATGCAGATACTCTGATCCAGCATATCAACAATGCTGCGTCTTTTCGAAGTACCGCCTCAACGCAGAAGAATGACTCTTCGTCTCGCTCCCATGCTATTTGCAAAATTCGTCTCGAAAATCCTGCGTTGCCTCAATCTGACGATGGACTCTTGTATCTCATCGATCTTGCAGGCTCAGAAGCAGCTCGCGACGTGACAGAGCACTCAACCCAACGCATCAAAGAATCCCGTGAAATCAACGCCAGTCTCTCAGTCCTCAAAGACTGCATCCGCGGCAGAGCAAGTGTCGACCCCGCTAGTCTCGCAACTGGAAAGAAGGTATACGTGCCATTTCGGCAGAGTGCTTTGACAAAAGTACTCAAGCACGTCTTTGACCCTGCTGCCGAGCGAGCCTGCAAGACTGTTGTTGTGGCTTGTGTCAACCCGAGTTTCCTGGACGTTGGGGCTACGAAGAATACGCTGAGGTATGGGGAGATGTTAAGAGTCACTGTGCCGAAGACGGTGGTGCAGAAGTATGATGCTGCGAAGCCGAGTACTTGGCCTCATGACTTGCTCCAGGATTGGATTTTGAAGAATGTGAGCTACCCGACTCCTTTGACTGTTTGATACCCGCTGACTGAAGTATGGATAGTCTGGTGCACCACCTGTTTCTCCTGCTTATCTCGCACCTGAAGCAAATGGACTTCAACTTCTTCGTCTACCAGTTCCAGAGTTCATCACTCGTTGTCTCAAAACACCTGGTGTAACGCTGGAACAGGCGACTGCCTTCCAAGCCAAGTTCTGGCGTCTTCACATCGACTCCCAGCGCAAGAAGCCAAACATGTACCAGAAGGAAAAAAACACAGAGACGGAGAAAGAAGGCGCTGAGGACAAAGGGCTTTCAAGCCGTGACCCAAGGCCTGAGATGGTAGACGTCCCGTTCAAAGGGCGTCTTCGACCAGGAATGGTGGTTAGTTGGAATCCCTCAGACGACACTCCTGGATTTTACCGTCTACCGGGACGTAATCTTGTCATGATCTTGAGTCCTGAGGGCGAGGGGAGTTATCGATGTGCTGTTGCGGTGCCTGCTATCATGCCGGGCGCCTTCGAGATTTACCTGTGGCAGCAGGTTGTGGCTTCTGTTGATACAATGGAGGCTGAGGTTTTGCTGGAGTATGATGTTGGAACGAGGTATTACTATGAGAACGTGTAAGATGATAGGTGCGACGAGAGCTTAGTGCAAGTCAGCCGGAGAAGCTTGCGGTTCAGGCAGCCGAGAAAACATATGGTATCGCATGAAGTGGTTGATGGGATGGGGTACTGGTATCACGAGAACTACGACAGTTTAAATCGCAAGATGGTGTCACTAAGTTGTGTTCAATGGTGACACATGTGAGGGTTACCAAATATTAACCAGATCGTGATCTGGTTTGTGTATTAGTTCTAGCTGGTATCCCATAAGCATGGAAGCTCTCATTAAACCGTGCGCCTATGTTTCCTCCAACAGGGTATCTCATTTTGGATTGATGGGGTCTAACAACGGCACACTTTCCTTGCATCACTCATAAACTTAAGCGGAAGGCTTCTCAGCAAGAGCCTCGAGGATAGGCTTCTCCAAGCTCTCAGGCTTAGTAGTGCTAGCCCAGCGACCCTTGACCTTTCCGTCACGACCGACGAGGAACTTCTCAAAGTTCCACTTGATGCGCTTGAGGCCGAGAAGACCGGATTGCTGGTCCTTGAGCCAGGCCCAGAGGGGGTCGGTGTTGTCGCCGTTGACCTCAGTCTTCTTCATGATGGGGAAGCTCACGCCGTAGTTGAGCTGGCAGAACTCCTGGATGTCATCGTCGGTACCAGGCTCCTGGCCACCGAACTGGTTGCAGGGGAAACCGAGGATGACAAAGTCCTCAGGGTACTTGCCCTTGAGGTCGGTCCAGAGCTTCTCGAGGCCGGCGTACTGAGGAGTGAAGCCGCACTTGGAGGCAGTGTTGACGACGAGGACGACCTTGCCCTTGTAGTCGGCGAGGGGAACCTCTTGGCCGCGCTCTGAGAGATGAGATGTTAGTTGAATGAGTCTATTATCATGAAGTGAAGTGAAGTGGTGTGTTCAAGGCGGGGTATGAGTGTAACAATCATGAGGAAAACATACTGTCAAGGGGCTTAAAGTCGTAAAAGCTGGTAGCAGAAGCCATCTTGTTTGTTGTGCTGAATTGATTGACACGAATTCTGTTTCTGTTTCTGTGGTTGTTTATGTTGAAAGGTGAAAATGAGAATGGCGGGGAACTGGTCGTAGTGTAGAAGTAGGTGTAGTATTTATTCAGGCAGGACCTTGAACTTGATGATAAAGGACGTATTGAACTGAGGACGGATAGGGATCTAGACCAAGGAGGGGCTCTAGAGATGGACAAGGACATGGCCATTTCCTAATAAGATAATTGGACGTATCGAATACGAATTGATTGCATTGCCTGAAGAAGCTTCTGCTGTACCCTTCTGTACTTCCCTTAGACTACTATGACACTACAAGCCTCGGCACTTGACTCCATTTCAGGTTTGGTGACGTATTCGAGGTGGAGTGATTCGGGGTATCCAGTTCCGCCGGCACCGATAATTTCTTTAACAGAATGATTTGTAATTAATTAGTACATAGTAATTACCTCTTAGTAGGTATTCAGGTATCCGAACGAGCCGTGCTTTGGTTTAGTAGTTTTCGTATCAATAGATAATCAGTCTACCTAATACTATAGTATAGGTACTGCATGAACATGCTGATATGATGTTAAGCGAATGCGGTTAAGTTGCCATGCCTAGGCAGGCAGTCTCTTACTCGCTAATCATATGTCAATTATGATGACTACTAGGGACAACTACAGAGCCTCAAATGAACATATTCTACTCGTGATCGGCAGTATTATTTAATCCAACTCCAACATATTTGGAATCAATTATCATCGGTGCAATCTCTGACCGAAGAATCCTTCACTAATTCTCGGCTCGGTAATAACTCCGGTTCGGACGTCACTACCTCTTCTGACCTCAAAAACATCAGCTCTTATCGATAAGCACAGCTAAAGTGGTTCAGAGTGGCGCTGTTCATCTTTACTGTACGTCACTTTCAGCCCGATTAGATCCATTCCATTGGATTGGTCCCTCGATCTGACTGGACTCCAAATCAGATATCAGCCCCGAAAACGTTGCAAGCGCAAAGGCGATTAACATGCCAAGTACTTTCACCTACTTCTAGTATTCACCATCGAGTCTCATTTAATACAAGTATTTTCACTCCTCATTATCATATCATGGAGGGCAGGAAGAACATTGTCATTGTTGGTCAGTCGCCCCGCCACAACCACACCCTTCGCTACCTCGTCTCATGATCACTACCTGTACCTTTACAGCCTCATCATGACACCTATCTCTCCCATGTAAAACGTACCGAGGCTGGAACAAGGCTGACGATCTCTCAGGAGGTGGCATCATTGGCTCCACTACAGCTTACTACCTCACCCGCCATCCCAAGTTCAACAAAGCCCTGCATTCAATCACCCTTCTTGAAGCTGCTCCTGCCGTAGCATCCGGCGCATCGGGCAAGGCTGGCGGTCTTCTCGCCCTCTGGGCTTACCCGGAATGTCTGGTTCCTCTTTCATACAAGCTCCATTCCGAGCTTGCCGCTGAACACAACGGTCCTCAGAGATGGGGTTATCGTCAAGTCGGCTGCGGAAGCTTTGACGCTGTAGTTACCAGCGATAAACTCAAATCACTTCAAACCAATGGAAGTGCCAACGGAAACCAGGAAGGCAAGGAATGGGAGAAGCTTCCCAAGCAGAACGGCGCGGCAAAGGATCTCCTAGAAGCAGCCAACTTGCCCAAGGATCTCGACTGGGTAGATCGTGAGATCATCGAGAGTTGGTCTGAGATGGGTGCACCGGGCAAGACGGAAACATCACAGGTGCACCCCCTGCACTTCACAACATCCATCGCCGAACTCGCTCAGCAAGGCGGCGCTCAAATACAGACCAATGCAAAGGTGACAAAGATCAACTCCTCAAAGACGAGAGTTGAGAGCATAGAGTACCTGGATCGCAACACAAACGAGAACAAGGTCATCGCGGACGTTACAGATGTCGTGGTGACAGCTGGTCCTTGGACAAGCAGAGTGTTGCCCCGAGCTAAGATCGAGAGCTTGAGGGCACACAGCGTTGTTTATGACGTGGACTTAAGTCCTTACGCTGTCTTCACAGATATCGAGCTTCCCGCAGATTTTGTCCCTGAACATCGTGCCAAAATGGGACAGAAGAAGAGGCATAGGGGCAACGTTGATCCTGAAATCTACGCTAGACCGTTCAACGAGGCTTATGCCTGCGGTAAGTACAAATACTGAACGCAACGATGACAATTCTGACTTTGCACAGGCGAGCCAGATAAAACTGTACCACTCCCCGACACAGCAGACCAAGTAGAATGCGATGAAGCTCAATGCGACGACATAATCTCCTACATCAGCACATTCAGTCCCAAATTGGCCGCTGCACCTATCAAAGCCAAGCAAGCATGTTACCTCCCACAACACATCCGCTTTGGGCAAGAGAGTGGTCCTTTAATCGGCAGGACGAGTGTACCTGGCTTATTCGTCGCCGCGGGGCATACGTGCTGGGGCATCCAGAACGGTCCTGGAACAGGCAAGCTTATGTCTGAGTTTGTGTTTGATGGAGTGGCTAAAAGTGCGGATATTGACAAATTGGACCCTCGGAAGTTCAAGGTCTAATGACCAACTTGGTATAGGAAGTTGAGATATATACCCAATGAGTATGAAACTTGATGATTGGATAATGAGAGCATATATGAACTCTACAAGGCTTATAAAAAGCACCAGAATCGTTGGTACAAAGCTAGATCATCTGACTGTTAATAAGATAATGGTAGATACAACTTCTTTTCATTACTTTGATGTTGCAGATATGGAGTTGGGACAGATGCTGATGGCTGCACGTGAGAGACTGCAAGTTGTCCAGCCTTCACCAGAGCGTTGACTTGTGGGGGAGCCAGTTAAATAAGGTGATCTGCGATTTCAAGGGAACTAACATAGAAGAAGGTCTATCCTGAATAACATGATTAACTTTTATTTATTTATTTTAATCATTAATTCTGTCTTATACTGCCTTCCAATAACATTTTTTAGTTAGAGGTTGAGCTGGGGTACTAGCGTGGCGGCACACCCACTTCTCTTATCGATAAGCCTCTGCGATCAAATTTTGGCGGGCATTTTTTGTACGTCCCTCGCAAGCCTCCAATCCATACAATACTCTATCAACTTCTAACAACACCAATAATCAACCATGGGTCGCGAACTCCAAAAGAAGAAGGCCAGATCTGGTCGCCAGCCAGTCAGACAACTCAACAGAACCAAGAAGATTCTTAACCCCCGCGGTAACGATGCCATCGCCAAGAACTGGTACGTCGCCATCAAGCTTCTGTCGAAATAAAGATTTGGAGAGGAAGCTAACGCAGAACTAAAGGAACAAGAAGGAGACCATGTCCCAAAACTACCGTCGCCTCGGTCTTGTTGCTCGCCTCAAGGCCCCTACCGGTGGTGTAGAGAAGAAGCTCGGCGCAACCACAACCCGTGCCTATCCCAACGACCCTTTCGCCATCGCTAAGATCGATAACGCTGTTGTGTCCGAAGCGCGCGTTGAGCGCGATGCAGACGGAAAGATTATCCGCATCATCGGCGACAACAAGCCCAACCCTCTCAACGACCCGCTCAACGACCTCGACAGGGACAGCGACGACGAGGGCAAGACTGCCGAGGAGTGGGGCGGTATTGCGGACGATGCTGATGAGGAGACAACTGATGTTGTCAAGCAGCTCCTCGAGCAGGCTAAGCAGCCTGATGTTCCCAAGAAGCGACACCAGAGTGCTCGTGAGATTGAGTGGTTGGAGAAGTTGGTTGCCAAGTACGGTGACGATACGGGTGCTATGTCTCGGGATCGCAAGTTGAACCCCATGCAGCAGACATCAGCCAATATCGCCAAGCGCCTTCGCAAGATGCAGAAGGAGGCTCAGGATTAAGGAGATGTGTCTTTTAAAAGAAGGGTTCCTGAGAAAGACCCAAGGTTAAAATCGCTGTCATCAAGTACGGAGCATCAAAACTGGCTTAGAACAGAAGGCGTTGGGAGTTGGGCTCGAGCATCTTGCATAATACAAGACGTCGTATATAGAATTCATTTACACGACTGAACTTTCTGTACTGTCAAAGATACTGTCAAAAAAACAGGATTCAAACACATTTAAATGTCTTCAATATACATAGATTTGTGTGCAAATGTCTCACTTCATATATGCAAACCGAGACAATTCGTCACATCACCCTTTCTGCGCAATTCATGACGCCGTTACGCCTCTCCTCCATTTAGAGGCGTGTTTCCACCATACAAAAATGTTGAGCCGCATTCCAGACGCAGACGTTTCCCAGGCTATTCACACCAAGCAAAATGAACACCGTTGTATAAAACAATGAAACCAATCCATATCCTTCCTTTCATTTACATGTATTTACGACTTAGTGCCCCCTGTTGTAGTTGGCAGCAGGGAATTGGGCGACTGGAACATCCTCATAAGGGGCACCGCCTGTGGGATTGGCGTAGTTGGCAGGCATAGATGGAGGAGCACCGCCGTGGTACTCGGTATCGTTATCGAACATGGTGTTGTTTCGTGGGGGAAGAGCGCCGAAGCGGTCAGGATCATCGTCATCAGCGCTATAGGGGTTGGCATCGCCGTAGCGAGAGTGACCGCCGTAGCTGCTCTGGTTGTAGCCACCGCCGTAGGCGCTACCTGAGGGCTCGTGGTCGTCCATGTCAACTCGCTCGTAAGCCTCGTCGCCGTGAGGAGCCATGGAGAAAGCAGCCTTGTCGGGATCGATGTTGTCGCTACCCATCTGGCGGTTATCGTAGCCAGGTAGGGTGTTGTGGTTGTTGTAGTAGTTGAGAGTGAAGAGGGAGACAAAGGTTGAACCACCAAAGAGGAGGCTGTGGTACTATTAGCAAAGGGTTTTGTTGATCAAGATCTCGTGTACATACGTTACGATGACACCGCAGCCAACAACACCCTTGCTGATGCTGCAGGCGGTACCGCACTGGCCAGCGGCGTTGTAAGAAGCCTGAGTGGCAAAGGCAGACAGCCAGATAACGGTGAAAGCAGCATCAACAGCAAGCATGGCATGAGGTTGGGCAAATCGTCGTGTGCGGCCCCATCGGGGGGTCATGATTAGGAAGATCCAAGCTGGCACCGAAAGGAAACACTGGGTATCATCGTTAGCTGACATCACAAATTATGAAAAGGCCGAGGCATGTCGACTTACCACTCCAAATGTCCAGCCATTCTTTCCAGTGACCTCCGCATCCTTTGCGTTAAACACACCGATCTGCAAACACCATGCGACCAGAGACAGAATGATCTGGAAAGAGTGAAGACCCAGTTTCAAGTTGGGGACGATATCGGGATCAATGTCGAACCGCATGGCTGAATGCTGATGCGAGAACTGTGTAGATGAGAATATGTATGGAAACTCGAAGAGACGTTCTAATTGTTGATCAAGTGAAAACCAGGCTGAACTGAATGTATGTGTCTTGTTGGCTTTTCAGCTGAAATCGCAAGGGCTTGTTTCGTCACAGGTATATCGGTTAAATGTATCCGCCGTCGTCAATGCTTTTGTTCGAGACTCGCTAGGTGGAAAATGTACTTGTTAAAAAAAATGCAAACACACAACAGCACACAAAGAGCGTTATCGTCAATAGAAGTTGTTTGTTGTTATGAGGAGGAGAGGGAAGACGAGACGTTGGTAGGCGTTGGAGGACGGGACGTTACGTTAGGTTGGGCTGGGTCTGAATTAAGTTCGATGGTCCTTGGAAACCCTGACGAAACAGGTTCCCTGGCCAGCGGGCAACTCCATGGGATCCATCCACTGTCAAGGCCAGTGCCAGTGCCAGCGACAGACATGACGCTCCAGCTCGCTGCGACTGGGGGAACTAAGCCTCCACAATGGATCTTAATTGGTTAGCGCTGTCCACGCGTTGCTAGACGCAACAGCAGGGCTGTCTTCGTGGCTGTGGCTTATCCTCCCATCTTTATCTGTGTCTGTTAGATTTCATCTATTACCGATAGTGTCAGCACTAATTCAGGGGGGAAATAACGCCTGAAAGGGCAATCTAGTCAATAAAATATTTTACGCGTGATCTGTAATGGCGGTTCAATAGCGGAGGTCTAGTCTAAGGCATCTATTTAACAGCCTAGAGTGCCCTGCGAGGCCATGCCACAGCTGCGCCACGGGCGAAGAATTAGGGGACCACTCTGTTTGAGACACTCAACCAATGAAACCAGCCAAGATGTGAAATTCTTCTAAATTTATGCTTTTCAGCTCAGTGACGCTTCGGCAGTTTCGTCAGTAATTTAGCCCAGTCGCTTCCTCTGACATTTTGTTGCGGACGTTTTATGTCATTCCTGATGAGGAAAGATGATCGTCTCTCATTTCTTTAAAATTCAACGACTCCTCTCTCGATTCTCAACACCTATTCATGACTGTTATACTTGAACCGCCACGATAATTACGCATCTTTTGTTGACTCTGATGACGTTTGTTGTTTTCGGATGATACGGGTTGCTGTGCCGCAGATGATGTTACACTACGACTCGAGCTGCATTAGTTGCCGTTACATATGATCATAAGATAATAAAGGACGGACATCAAGAGAAGGAATACAATCAACTCAACGACCAGCCGTTGATTGAAGCTGTCACCGACAAATTGATATTTAAGACAATCACAAGCCAGGGGCCATGGCGGATACTGGGGTCCCAACCTAATCTGCCTCTGAAACCGTCATTAAAACAGGGGTTTATTTCCGCCAATCTTCCCCTCGCTATCATTCTCTCCGAATAGCCTCATAAATCCTGCTCCAAGGATTCAGTCACTTTCGCAAAATTACTCCATATCGCGGAACAGTTCAAATAATAGGACGCCATGTATTATTGTAAGCTGGATATCGTAATACTTGGCATCTCAAGAAGGATGACCAGGACCTTCGGTTAAATAGATGAGATACATGTAAAGGGAAATGCTGGTCATCTTCTACGTTGAGTTAGCTATCGCCATGGATGGTTCTCAACTTTGTCATCGACCATCTACAAATTTTCCTACCCATCGTTGAGCCTCATAAAGAACTATCATCTGATACGTGCGATATCGGCGCACGAAACCGGGTGTCAATAAGACAGCTTGGGGCCAAGCAACATCAATTATGTGAGAGAGAAGGCACTCAAGGTCATTCATCCTATGGACATGATCACGAGATGCAAAGTACAAGTTGCAAAGCCTTCTTCCAAGGATGAGACGGGCGGAAACCAAGGACTCTGTCCCCGGCTTCCAAGCGAAACCTCTCATGAGAACGATCTTAGATCTCATATCGATATGGCAAGTGATTCAATGCCACTGTCAATACATGCCCATGGTGTCTCTCAAGCTTGCTGCCGTGTCGTGAATCGACACGGCCACTTGGTTTCAGAGGTGTCGATAGTGAATGATGCATCTCTTGGAAATATGGTTCCCCGAGCACCTCGTCTTCAGTGAAAGTAGTAATTCAGCGACGGAGTAACTCATCTGACTTCAAGGTCGTCCATCGCGGAGCTTGACTGGTGGCCGAAGAGCAGCCACCGTCAGTAAACAGTCCTCGGTGAACAGTCTTCTGCATCTACTCTGGCATCGAGCTGGTGCCCTAAATTCCATGCTACGCCATGCGAGAAACAGGTTGTGGGTAAGTGTTCCTCATAATCCAGCCATTAGAATTATCTGTAACAACCCTCGGTTTTATAGACCTTGACGCCACGGCATTAGCATAACAAGACTTCATCACGATGTCCTTGAGTGCATTATTCGATCATGATGCGAAGAATTCGATCTTGGACATGGTGTTGAAAGCTTACAGATATAAGCACTTGGCTAGTGAAAGTAACACTATTGTGAGTGGGTGACTACACGAGATGGGTCTAGCTTGGAGCTTGGTGTAAGATACCTATCGGATTCATTATTCAGCCTCATCTGGATGAAGGAAGCTTGGTGGATGAAAGGAAGCAATGGCTATGTGGCATCCATGTAAGAAGCAAGGCTATTCTTATAGATTCGAGATTGTAATTGGATCTTCCAGGTAGAAAGATTGATTAGTAGTATTAAGCATTTAGTATCATTCCGTTGATATGAGACATCAGCTAAACCAGGTGCCTGGATCCTGAGTATCCTACTGGTCTTGATACGATAGCTTGCACAGAGCCATTAAGCCTTCTGATAAGGATTAGGAATAGCTATCTGAGCTTGCTTTGAACTTGCTTACAGAGCTTCTGAAATGGGCAAAGTCTCTTTCTGTATCGTTACTTTGGTGATTGGTAAGAGTTCAAGCCCACCCCGTTGTAGACAACCATAATGGTCCTCGTCACATTGCCTATTACTAAACCGTCATGTGCAAGATCTATCTGGGTATAGCTTTCATATGGGCAGTTGTATCTTAACTTAATCTGAAAAAGAACTCATCACATTCTCTGCCCAACTTCACCAACGCCGCAGGATCCGACTGATCGAGTACAGCATCAACATCCCCAAACACCACGCTAAGGGGTCACAAACCAATTTGATCAAAGTGTTGTATTTGACTTCTTTATTGATTACTACCTAGTTTTGCTATTTAATGTCTTTTGTCCATGGCCCAAAGCGGGCGTTCAGTCGCTGTAGTGGTATCTTTTTCAACCATGATTATGCCCTTCCATGATACTCGGCCGTAATAATCGTAATAGACAAAGAAAATGTGACCCAATGCGATAGAAATATGCAACGCCATCGCTGAATGCATTCCTGTGATTCTCTTCCAGTCTTCTTTCTTTTTTGGTTGTTGTTACAGTAGTAAAGCTATAGGCAAAAGAACAGCCACCGCAACACCAGCAGGCGGTCGTCTTCCCATAGCTGCACCATCGGCATCTTTCGAAGGTGCGGTATCTCTCATCTTGGCGTAGCTCTTGATATTTGTGGATAAGCCACCAGAACTATTCAAGTCGTCATCAGAGTCGCCTTGAAGGCCAAGGTTGGCAAAGTTGGAAGAGCCAGGTACTGGACCTTGACCCTTGTACTCGATGACCTTGTGCTCGAGAATAGTGTTCTCCAGAAGAGCAGTCGTAGGGGCATCGGTGGCTTCTGAACCAGATACTTGGGTCCTCAATGTTGAAGGACGCTCAAAGCCTGATGTAGCAGGTGTCCCTGTGGGAACAGATTCTTGGTATGGTGAACCGCCACGGGGATAAGTCATTGTTGCAGTAACAGGCTCATCACCACAGTTGTTACACGTCTCAACACCAGAGGTGAATCCGTAAGGAACAGCAGTCGGTGTAGCATCAGCTGGCATAGCCGACATGCCCCGGTAAACCTCCTTGACAGAGTAAGGAAACTGGGCGATGCCAGTAGGAACAAAGACATCGAGTGTTGTTGTATAAGTATTTGTATAAGCACAGTCCGTGCATCCACAGTCTTGACACTCAGGCATCTCGACAGTGTAGTAGTTGTCTGTGCCTTGTGTAGGCGTTGCAGGACCGAAGCTTTCTTGCGTGGTGCTGAAGCATTGTGTCATTGTGCGGGTGGTATAAGTATATCGCTGTGCAGAGCACAAAGCGCTGAATAGAAGGGTAGAGGTTATGAACTTCATTTTAAGGAGAGTGATGATTAGAATTAGAGACAAAAGGAATATTCTTAGAAAATGAAGGGTCCAAGTGAGACAAAGAGATCTACCAAGGGTATCTATATGATATGCAGATCTATCCAAGGGTCCAGACGAATCAACGCCTCAAGGTTCTTTGCAGATGGTGCCTTGCATACCCAGCTCAACTCTATCTTGGATCTCAGCCATATCCGGGTTCCCAATCGTCATGTTGAGTGACCCATCACATCTCAAGAGTCGGCCGCTTCGCTGTACAGCATATCAACGTTCGTCACGATCGACCAGATCTAGAGCCTATCTCAATCAACAGGAAAAACCCCTAAAACTCTATTCAAAGTGTTACAAAGCAGAACCTTGTAGGGTCCTGACGTATCATATGTCTTGATTCACATCACGCACTTTCGTATAAGACCGCTTTTGACTGTTGGGTGGAGAAGAGACTAACGGATGTCTCTCCGGATGATCACCAGTCTAGACTCCCTTTGGCGCTCGTGTTGTAACGGGTTGTAGATCGAGCCTCAGTTGGGACAGAGGCATTCTTTAGCGAAGCCACCAGGCCAAGAACTGTCTATATCCGTATATAAAGTCATTGTGGCGCCTGTCAGGATGCCAATGCGGAAGCTAAATAAGTGGTCAGTAGTAACAGGGCACCCGAGAGGGTGTCAGAAAGGGTGGCCATCAACAGAGTAAGAGATAAAATAATTCAGTCACTTTATACGGACCTAGACTGATTCTCAGGTTAACTATTTCTGCCACCCAAGCAGAAGAGGATGCTCTTTCTGCTGCCCTAACAACAGGCGCCCGTTCCCTGGCCATAGCTCCCTGCTCCCTCTTACTTTTCCTCCAGACTGAACTAACCTCAAAGCATCGAACAGGAGTCTTAACGGTTCTTGACCATTGGATACCCATAAATCTTCTGTGGCAACGGAAGGCTTTCCGCGCCTGATGCAGAACGAGTCTATTTGTACGGATCCGTCCAATGAAGCGAATTACATCACCATTTCTCTATAGACGACATATGATGCGAGGATCTTCAATGAATCAAAAGATTTACAAGACCAGCATATCAGGGACCAACACTCACTCTGTCTAGACTCAACGGATGCAATCTTCTTGCCACCCTGCCCTACAGCCAACACTAGACAGACACTTGAGGAAATAGCAGACGTTACGAGACTGTCGTCTGTGCTTTATGCTTCAGTCAATTCCTTTACGTACTTCGCGAATCACTTTCCGATTCTGGTTTGGTGCTCCCATTAACCTTTTCCTGCAACACTCTATCCTCTCAAGCTGGGGGAGAGGCACGGATATACTTTAGCAATAAGCGAAAACGAGGCTTTGATCTCGGCCAAAGCGTACCGGTGGCGTTACCTGGATTGAAGATGTCTTAGATCTAGGCCCAGACACTAGCAAGCCATATCATGGAGTTGACACAATAACTTCAACACTCTCCCACTGTTTCTTGGTAGGGTACTTATTTCACAGTTTTATACTCTGAAAGCCACCTTACGATACATCAACTTCTCGCCCACAACGTCAATATGGTGGATCTCGCCCATCTGCTAGCCAGACAACCGATATAGCCCTGGCGGCCGCCGCGAGGGAGATTCCCTGCGGTAGTCTTTATCTCCGGTCTAAAATGTCCGTAGAGGGAGCTTGGACCTTCGTACTGTAGTTTGTGTAGATAGCTTCAAGAGCGTGTTGTTCAACTGAGCTGTGCTGTACAGGCAATATGTCGCAGACCCTGCCTTCGGTGATCAACACCAGGAATGTGAATCTCGAGTCCTTCGTCTCAAATGATGAAATATTACCATAACAAAACATAAGCCAAGCTGTCAGTTTCTTCCTTGTCCAATCACATGGCTTGTCGGCCGATATCTTCCTTTCTGAGGTGCCACAAAGCTTGGCTGGGAGGAATGACAACTGAATGTGACTTGGCGTGAAGAAGAGGGTTACTCATATTACACAGTTACCAGATTAAGAGACGAAAGGAGTAAGTCGGTTTATGCCATGTTCGATCAACATTAGGCAATTACTGCATAGTAAAAGGCTACAAGGCTTGCGCTGCCAAAACAAAGTAGAGGTGATCACGATCCAGTTCAAACTCACACAAATTAACCAAGAATCTGTTTCTTACACTCTTGGTGTCACGTTTTATGATCGTAATGGGCTTCTCATATCCTCAAAGAAAGTGATTATAAGTTTCTGTTAATGCTATTCTAAAGCTGATCTCAGCAGCTACAAGTTACCTAATAGCCTCGTCCTTTCGCAGCGCCCGTTCAAGTTCATTTAATTCTTCTCTTTGGAGGCACACGCAGACATCCCAGCCATCGTCATGTGATATGTCGTTGCTAATCTTCCTCCCTTTCCCCCATGGCGGTAGCAAGATCACCTTTCCCTCCTCCATATGGTCTACACAAGGCATAAAGTAGGGGTAAACATCATTTCCCCCAAAAAAGGCGCGAATATAACGAGCACGAGCGTAGCCACAGTCGATCCAATTCTCAAAAACGACATCGTACTGGGTTAGAAGAGCACGGGAACTCGCTTCGTCATCTTCTTCGGGACTGACGCTTTGCTTCACTCCATAGAACTTCTGCAGAAGATCCCGGTCGACCGGATCAACGGATAATATTCCGACTGCGCATCCTAAAAGAAATTTTTCTCTCATTTTACGTTTTCGTTCGAGTTCTAATAGTTGTTCGTCTGTTTTCTTTTTTCCGGTACCTTCTTCTTCAAGCATGCAATCGGTCAACTCGTCAACCTGGGCGGTAAATGCCGCCGTGTAAGTGCTGTTGCCGTAATAGGCTTTTGCACGAATCGAGTGATGCGCCGGGTACTTGATAAAGGCCGTCGTAATATGGTTGTGCTCAATAACCCCAGTTTCCCACCTGGCCTGGGTGATTCGATACCACATATACGCGAAGATACAACTGCTGAAGCCAGTGGGCATTACTTGACCAGACATAGGTTCGCCGACAAGCGGATCAAAGGTAGCTCGTACGTACTTCTCTTTTAAGCGGTAAATCATGTATCCTAGGCGAGACTTTTCTGTTGGAATACTGATCAGTCTGTCCCTATCCTAATCGAAACAACTGAACTTCAACTTGTTTATATGCCAGTCATGTACCTCGATCTTGGGCATAGTTCTTCGAACATCTGAGATGGATTAGCACCATACTCCAATCCGTTAGGAGGAAGAAATACCAAGTGGCTGAATGTTCTTGACGGAATTCTCTAGCAGCGTAAAATCAAGGAATTGACGTAAGTAGTTTTGAACGAATTGCATATCAAAGATGCGTTCGCTGAACGCGAAACGTATCACAAAGACGCCCTCGTCGAGCAGTTTCACTCTGACCATCACGGGATAATTAGGATCTCCTAAGTAAGTGGCGATCTTCTTGGGCTCTGTGTGTTTGTCAATGTTCTTGTCAAACTCGAACAACTTCAAAGGTAATGTCGAGATATCTTGGCATTCGGGGGCGGCTTTCATCAGCCAGCTTGTATCTTCTATGAACCGGTCGATGACGTCGCGCTGCGTGACCGGCTGTTTGTACCACAGTACTAATCTACTCTGGCCTTCAATCATCTTCCGACCAAATGTGCCGTTGAGGAAAGGCCAATGTGTCAAAGTCCGCTCGAATACTTCTCTCGCCTCGTGAGCAAGACGGCGAGACAATCCATTCGATTCCTCCTTGGTAAACCCGACCGGGAACACCATAGACAATCGAATATAGTCTTTGTCTGTATGGTTCTTTTCTATTGGTGTAAGTACCAAATACTTCAATGGAGATTGTTCCGCTAATAGTTTGAGCCGATTGACGGGAGAAGGTTGTTTAGAGTCGTTCGAGGCCGACGGGCCTTGGTGTGTATCAGCCATAGTTAAGTCTCGTCCTGATATGAGACAAGGTAATGATGGTTTACCAAAAACGGTCGTTTTATAAGTTGGGACGAGGATACAAGGTTGAGATTGTTGGACCATCTCGAGAGGTCGCGAAGGTAGTAGATTAGCATTGTTGATGCCACCTACCTAGAGAAAGGGCTCCCAACACCCGCTCTTCTCCTGCCACTTTCTAATCAGTGCTAAGGAGTGGCAGAGGAGCTGTATTCTAGGTAAGCTTCAAGATGTACAAACGAGATGGCCTAAATACCAATATGACTGGCATAAAGTCTTTGAATTACTTCCTCTCTTACTCTAGGCGACATTATTCCCAGGTAACTGGTGGATGGAGACCACATTGCAGACTATACCATAGATTACACCCAGCTTCACTCATCTACCTAGGTACCTTCCCCAGGTGTCTATCAACTGTGTCCCCTGCAGTCCTTTTCAAACCGCACCTACTTGAATTGGTACCTCGTAAAGTGGTATGCACTCGGGATCTGCGACTTCTCATCTCTCCCACACCCAACTTCTCATAAGTACCATCGGGCAGCCCTTTAGGGAAATCAACGTCTCTCAATGGTCGAGTGCAGAGTGTGCTGTTTCATGAGCGATACACAGATCAGACCCAGGATGGAAAAGGCCAGCAGTGTCAACCAAACGCCCCTGAAAGCTTCCACGAAGGAGCTGACAACACCATCATACCACCCCTCGGGGAGATGCTTGATCTCATCGAGATCATCTCGAATACGGCGAATTTCGTCTGCGGCACCAGGCTGGTCGCCGAATCTATCCCAAAGTCGTGCTTTGAGGATATTTTGGTACACAGCTGAGCCAATGGTAACTCCAACAGTACTACCGAGACTACGTGCCAGGTCTAGACTTTATTAGCAATGTTGAAAGCCAATGCATGAATAGGAAACTTACAGGTTGCGGAAGTTATAACAGCTTGTTGCGAGTGGTCCACAGCAGCAATACATGCCAATAGCGTCGTGGTGAGTGTCGCACCATAGCCGGAACCGATTAAGAAGAAAGAGACAGCCATCAGCCACTTGGGACTATACTGGTTCTGGACAGTGAGAACCACCACGCCTGAAATGAGGACGAGCAAGCCTGCTACTCCGAGTCTGGTGTACCTTCCAGTCTTTTTCATGATGAAGCCAGAAAAGAGAGATCCGATCGAAATGCCGATTGGAGATGGCAGGATCTGGACACCCGACTGCGTGGCGCTGCTACCAAGAACTTGCAGGTAAAGCGGGACATAGAAAAGGGCCCCCATGACCGCCATGGTAGAAGCCAAGTTACAAAGACAGGCATTCAGGACAGTTCGATCGAGTAGAAGCTTTACGGGAATGATTGGCTGGCGGGCCTTGCTCTCCCAGAACAAGAACAGCCCAAATGTGATGACAGCCAGAGGAATCATCGTCAGCGGAAGGGGGTGTGTCCATGGGACAAGATTACCACCTGAGTTAAGTCCCAGCAGCAGAAAGACAAGGAATGAAGATGTCAAGAAGGCCCCCATAAAGTCTATGCGGGCAAGGAACGACTTATCCGACTGCTTGGGAGGGATCCTGACCAAGAAATGAACGGCCACAGCAGAGACAAGTACCGGTGGTACCTGAATCAAGAATGCAAGTCTCCAGCCTTGAGAAGTATGGTCGTTGATTAAACCGCCAAAGACACCACCGAGCATTGCTCCGGATCCGTAGCAGATGTTACCGAGGCCCTGGACAATACCTCTCTTGCGTAGAGGAACCAGATCTGAGCCCAAGAATGTCGAGATACTCATCAAACCGCCACCTCCAATACCCGCAACAACGCGTCCGATGATCATGGTAGTCTGGCTGTGTGCCAGACCACAGATGAGATTACCAGCTGCAAAGAAGATGTTGCTGAAAACAAGACCCGGTCCTCGGCCGAAGATATCCGTCAATCGTCCTGAGATAGGCTGGCATGCAGCATTAGAGATGAGATAAGCTGTCGCGAGCCATGAAAGCAGACTCAGAGACTGAAACTCGCTCGAAATTGGTCCCGAAAGAGTTGCGATGATGGTGGAATCGACAGCACCCAGGAAGACGCCTATCCAGGCAGTGCCGAAGATAAGAATCAGTTTTGTGGTCGGTACCTCATCAGCAATAACAGTTGTCTCCTCTTCTTGTCCTGCTGGAAGTCCTTGATTCGGGTCATCCCCTCGAGTCTCACTTGCTGGTTCAGCATCTTGATTTTGGTTTTGGCCATTCGACTTGAGCAAGGGCGTTCGCTCGTCATTCAGCGCAGCGACGCCGTTCTCGGCTACGGCAGAAGCCGCACTGCCGCTCGCACCCTCTCTCATATTCACTCTTATCGATGGAACAATGATGAGAGAATTGGGAAAAGAAGACAATGAATTTGAGTCTTTTATATGTCGGTAATATTATGTGAGATTGATGTATGTCGTGTAAAGGTCTGGTCTCGTCAGTCTCGAATAATAAGTTGCCGTCTCAATGATGGATGCTATTGGCTTCTTTCCCCAACCACCTTCCGCTAAAGTCGAACAAGGGATAGGATGCAAGGAGGTATCGGTCACTGGCCAATGACGTCGTCAGTCTAGGTCCATTAGTCCAAGACTATCTTAGCACCTCGAGCCGAGGACGGAGTTCCAGCCGAAGACATCCATGATACGTGTGATACCCTTCTCATGAGATTAAGGCAACACCATCATGATTGGGTTTAACATGATCCATTACACAGGTGCTCATGATGAGACAACACACTGTCTGCTAGGGACCTCCTAGCTGCTCCTCATAATTCTACCATTTTAGGCCTAGACCAGTTTCATAAGAGGGACATAGTATGTATAATCTTTTTTTATTCATTTATATGCTCATAATCTTTTAGTCATGACCAAGTCCTGGCAGTAGATAATATCATCTGCATATCCAACTGCCGAGCCAATTGTGTTCTCTTTTGTTATTAAATGCAACGCTATGCAAACTCATATATCCATATAAGTGGTTTTTAGCCAATTGGACAACCAGATGACGATTCAAACTTCAACATGAATCATAGTGACATCTCAATCTCCATAATCTCCTTGATACCCTCCTCGATACCCTTGGCTTGCTCGGGTGTGAGGCGGGGAAGAGGTCGTCGAGGGTGTCCACCGTAGCCGTAGTAGCTTTGGATAGCGGACTTGGTACCAGCGATAGCAGCCTTGGTCAGCACCCAGTCACCCTTGGAGAGCTTCTTCTGGAGAGCTTGAGCCTCGTCCTTCTTGCCCTTAACGTACAGGTCCCAGACCTTTACACAGGTCTTAGGCATGACGTTGGCACCGCCAGCAATGATACCACTGCCACCACTGACAAGAGTTTGGACAGTGAAATCGGCAATACCGCCAAAGGCGAGGTAGCCAGAGCCCTCCTGGAAGGGGGTCTTGGCATCAGTAGCGAGAGCGACACGAGTGAGTTTACCAGTGCTTCCGCAGGTGAACTTTGTGCCGACAATGTTGGGGTGCTGGCCGAGCTTGATGAGCAGGTCGCTGTCCATGTCCAGGCCAGCGACAGCACCGGGGTAGTTGTAGAGGATGATGGGAATGGGGCTCGCGTTGGCGAGGTCGATAAAGTAGTTGTAAACGGCATCCTCGCTCATCTGAGCCTTGTAGTAAGAGGGCGGAAGAACGAGAGTGGCAGCAGCGCCAACCTCGGCAGCCATCTTGCACAGCTCAACGGTACCCTTAACGCTACCCTCTGTGGCTCCAAGGAAGACAGGAATGGATTGGAACCCAGCCTCGTCCAAGGCCTCTCGTGTGGCCTTAGTGACAGCAATCTTCTCTTCGCGGGTGCAGTGAACAGCCTCGCCGTTGGAGCCCATAGCAACAAGACCAGCCAGGCCAGCCTGACCCAATCGCACAGCATGCTTCTTAATGATGGGAATGTCGAGCTCCTCGGTCTCGGGGTCGAAGAAGGTCATGACGGGGGCGTAGATTCCGGTAGGAAGCGAGGCGGGAGTGGCAGCGTGGCCATTCTGGCCGTTGGTAATACCGTTGGAAGAAGTCATGATGAGAGTGGTATAGGATGATTGGGGGATAGGTAGGATGGTGATGTAGGAGATGATGAGAAGCGACAGAGAAAATGAGAAGGAACAAAAATACAGAAGCGATCAAAAAGACAGGGTCGGGGTTTAAAAGAAACAAAAGAGGGACTTGATACGGTACCTAGCGTAGGAAGCTCAAGGCATCATGTCGAACCGACAAGTGCGCTTTTCCGTTTGTCAGTCCCGGTTTGGGGGTGGGTTCGCTTCGGGAAGTCAAGTGCTCCAGGACGTGCGTGGGTATTGGTTCGATCGTCCCCCAATTGGATGGAACAAGAGAACACTAGATCTTTAGTGGTGATACTGTATATGTGTTGGAATTGCCTGAAGCAAGGTGTCGTGCGCCCTCGTAAAAGCGTGGTCGTATGGCGAGACATCGGTCATGATGGTAACGCTTCATTGTCGCAGGTACCATCAAGATTTGGTAGTTGAAACGCTTGAAAACTCAAATCGGAACATCGGGACACTGCTGGATTCAATTGTCGCAATGGCTGCCGAATGATCTATCTCATGTCTGGAATGCGAGATCGGCAGTTCAGGTCCCCGCGAACAAGACTCGGTAGAAACATCCAAAAGATCTCTTGGATGCATCCTTTTCCAGCATCAAGCATCTCGCACAGACCCTTAACCTTGGGTCTGGCTTGTTTTGACATGGGCAACCGGTTAGACGGGAACGACGAAGAAAAGAGGCTCGCCGATAACGAGGTCGTTGGCTCGCTTGGAAGCCATGTTTAACATCCCACGCTCATGTTTATATTAGCCGGTCGAGAGTCACCCCTTTGAGCCTTGAGCTGACCGTACTTGATGCGGCGTGTGAGGCAAAGTGCATGGCTGAAAAATAGGCGATTCCGAAGAAAATAAGCCTTCCCGGAAAATGACGGGCGGTATGTGAGCTGAGCTCGGAGTGTTAACTATCTGAGTGCGTATAATGTGTGGTGATGCATAACTTGGTGTTGAAGGGATACAATACAGTCCTGTAATGCAACTGAGGGGAAACGATAGGTCCAGGGCGGGGAATTATTGGTAAGGGTGCCCCCAAAGTGGTAGGTGGGATTACCTCAACGAGATGTTGTGTTGCATGAGCGTTGACGATCACGAGACTGGAAATCGATTTCTCCGTCAAAGTCAGAAATGCGGTTTTATTTCTCATTTACTAATATCTTGATAATATATGTCCGTATCAGTGCGCATACAGTACCCAAGTTAGGAGGTATCTACCTACCAATGTTCTCAATTATCCTTCCATTCAAAGAGCAAATCAGATCACCCATGATTTGACTTGTAAGCGGTCATGAGCCGGTATTCGTAGCGGCGTGGGGGTGGGGGAACTTGACCCCGCCATCCATACCTAGGAATTCTAACCCCTCATTCAATTGAGGCAGTAACGACCCAGTGTTGATCCATGCTTTGGGGGTGGTTCTTGCCCGCTTCTCGACTCTTTATTTGATGCGGAGGGTAGGTGCTACTGACATTCACGGGGTTCCCCATCATGCAAATGAACCGCTGAGAGCATAGAGACGGTCTTGATGAAGGAACGAGCTTTCACTATCACCTTCGTAGATCAACAGCCTCGGGTATCTGGCATCTGTCATGATCAGTAAAATCACTAGGGTCTTACTAGGTCTCTTTTCTCCAATAGAAATTGTTCAATACGAGTATTTCCCCGCCCTCGCCTTAGCTGTCTTTATATACCTATATCACGAGAAACTATCAACATGAATGCAAAGCATGTAGTGCAGCATGAGAAGAACGAGACTCTCAATCCAAAGATTGAATTATGCATGGTCTTTCCTATCTCATCAGTTCACTGAATGACCCTCATCTTCTCCTCCAGATTTACTTCCCGCTGCTTCCCCACAGTCTCAGCCGCTCTTCGGTATCATGACTCCATAAAGGAAGCTGTCCCTCCCGAGCTCGAGATTGGGGGGTTCAAGGCGGGGACTCAATTTTCCTCCAATGGCGGGCGGAGAGAACCCCGATGCATCCCCCAGCTTTGGGAGCCAAGCTTAACTTAGCTTGCGGAGACATGAGCGAACAATTCATAAGAGAGCTCTACTGTCATCTCATGATTGCACTCTAAACATCTCATCCTCACTATTTCAGAGCTTTGATTGACTTGGCCGTTCTATCATACGTCAGTTTGCAAGCCTATTTATACCCTCATACTCTTTCTCTGGTCTCATCATAGCTTCTGTCTCTTCCCCGCGTTTGCCCCTCATCACACATTCACCATGGATCCTTTGAACGTTTTGATGGTAAGTTTGATTTGAAAACACCAAGTTCATGTACAGCTTGTCAGTTGGCTAATACTTTACTACCAGATTGGTACTGGAGAGTACACCACCGGTTTTGTCGGTGGCGGTGCCTCTGGTTCAGACAAGAAGGTTGGCGTTGTTGGTCTCAGTCTCTTTGACTTGCGCCGTCGCGAAAAGGTCAACAAGCTGGGCATGGTTGGTGTCAATGGCAAGAAGTTCCCTGCTATTCGTACGTACTCTACCAAGAAACATAAGCACAACTTGTTCAGTCAACTAACTCTTGAAGGCGAACATCTCCACAAGAACATCCAGCAGGTTTACAACAACCTCGATACTTCCTTCGACTCATTCCCTGCCAACGACAAGGTCGACCCCGATGCCTACAAGTCCGCCATTGATGCTCTCAGCCCCGGCGATGCCATCACCATCTTCACTCCAGACCCTACCCACTTTCCCATCGCAAAGTACGCCATTGAGCGTGGCATACATGTCATGATCACCAAGCCTGCCGTCAAGGCCCTCGAGGAGCACCAGGAGCTTGTCGACCTCGCTCAGAAGAAGGGCGTCTACGTCTACATCGAGCACCACAAGCGCTACGACCCTGCCTATGCTGATGCTCGCGCAAAGGCCCAGAAGCTTGGAGACTTCAACTACTTCTACAGTTACATGTCCCAGCCCAAGTCGCAGCTCGAGACCTTCAAGGCGTGGGCTGGTAAGGAGTCTGACATCTCATACTACCTGAACAGCCACCACATCGACATCAACGATTCCATGGTTCAAGAGCGCGGATACGTTCCTGTGAGCGTCAACGCCTCTTCTTCCAAGGGTGTTGCCGTTGATCTCGGCTGCGATCCTGTCACCGAAGACACTATCTCTCTACTTGTTACCTGGAACAAGACGGGCGAGCCCAGCAAGCGCGCCGTCGGTGTCTACACTGCTTCTTGGACTGCACCTCAAAGAGCCGGTGTTCACTCCAACCAATACTTCCACTATCTCGCCGCCAACGGTGAGATCCGTGTCGACCAGGCCAAGCGAGGTTACGATGTCGCCGACGACTCAGCTGGTCAACTGATGTGGTACAACCCCTTCTACATGAAGTACGCCCCTGATGAGGATGGCAACTTCGCTGGCCAGACCGGCTACGGATACATTTCCATCGAGAAGTTCGTCGATGGCTGCCGTGCTGTGAACTCGGGCAAGCTCAAGCCCGCGGACCTCGACGCCAAGCCTCTCCCCACACTTAAGAACACCATTGCCACAACGGCAATCCTCGAGGCTGGCCGAAGGAGTATTGATGAGAACAGAGAGATCAAGATTGTCATCAAGGATGGCAAGTGGAGTTTGGAATAATGGGCTGAAGAGGCAAGAGAGGGATAAATACCATATGCTATTGTATATACGTCTGACGGGTTACGACCAAAAGTAATGATCAAGCACTTTTTTATTTACACTTTATTAAATTTCCTTGTAAGAGAAATGCCAATATGTTCTACCTTTACACTTAATGCGGGGTGGATAAAATCGCTCTGCGGGCTCTTAACGTTTTAGCTCCACCAAAAACTCAACACTACACCTTATATCTATCATTCCAACATATAAATTCTACTCTTACTCTATCTCAAATCATCTTCTAGTCACTTATACACTTGTTCATCTCAAAACCGTCAGCATGCCAGATCCTCACTTCTCGGATCTCATCCTCCCTCAGAATGAACAACTCTCCATGTCCCAGCTCATGGCCTCTCTCAAACGCACAACACTCACAATTCACAACCGTCTAAACAGCATTCAAACTGACGCAGAGTTTGTGGACCGTGTCTCTCAATCATATTCTCCAAGACCACTTGTTGCTAATGAGCGTTGTGGGAGCTGGTATATTCCGCCAGACAGAAAGGGTGCGAGTGCGTATTTCAAAAGTACAGATGGTCATGAGAGGGCCTGGAAGTTTAGTACGAGGAGGTTGAATCTGCATTTGGTTGATATTATTGAGAAAAATGACGGGTAAGTTTTAGGATAAGATGGTTTATAACTTTGAAGTATCAAAGGGCTAATGGGTTTGTAGTATTATAGTTGTCGACTCAACTCGTCGGGGCAAACGTGAGTCTTTCGCCAACGCATTCTCACCAGTATGTATACTGACTCATACAGGAATGCCTGATGCCCTCTCTTCAACGATTCCGATCTGGTGCACAGTTCTCAACCTCACCCTCCTCCCCTCAAACCCCTCCTCCTCAAAACTCTACCTCCCAGCCCATCTTCCAGCAACAACTCACTCTCAAATATCCGCCCTCATACCTGGTTTCGTCGCCTCACTAAAAGCTCTCAATCTCAACCTTCCGACATGCCTCACCAAACCATTACGCCCATTCTGGGTAACGCCTGACTCGATCCTCCCCTCGCCTGAAGATACCGAGTCTATATTCGAGGATTTTCGGCCTGTGATCTGTTGCACGGCTAGTCGCCGTGTAATAGGCAGTGAGATGGATGAGGGAGGGTACATCCAGGGCGCAGCTGATGATACTGAGATGTGGGCACATGGTCTCGAAGCGCCTTTGTTCTGGGAGAATATCGATGAGCTTCTTGAGACGCCAGAGGCAGAACTACCAGATCTTATCACTAGACTGGTTAATGAGCATTCGGCTAATAAGAAAGATGAAGGATCACAGACACAGATCGCGCCTCACATATCTGTTTGCCCTTTACCACTGCCCGCCAACACGACGGAATGTCGCATAGCTATTACCCAAGACACAACACCAAAGGACTCATGGGTCAAATCCAAAACACACATGCAGGCTGGACTTGGGAAAAGCAAAGTAGCCAGTCGAAATCTTCGAACTGCACTACCAGATATATGCGATTTCGCTGCCAAGTATCTCGCCTCGGTTACGGTATCTGATCAACAACGCATTGTTGTAGCATGTGAGTCTGGGAAGGATCTTTCAGTTGGCGTGGCTCTTGCTATATCATGCTATCTATTTGACGATGAGGGAAACGTCAGAGACTCGGTCGAAAATGTCTCGTTTACAAAGACATTAATCAAGTCGAGACTGGGCTTCATCATGACAGCTTACCCTGGGGCGAATCCGAACCGAGCCACACTACAGAGCGTTAATAGCTTTTTGATGGATTGGCGCCGATAGTGAATAAGTTGTATGTGAAACATTAATAAGAACTTCATAATGAGATTCGATCTTGAGCAACCACTTGTGCTGGTCGGTCTAAATAAGATCATGTCTCAGTTTGTTCACCATGTCTCATGATATGCAACGACCAAGTGAATATGTTCATCAAATTCGTATTAATTAGATTGATCTACGTTATCCTGCCCATCTCTTTCGCTGTATGACCGATATGTAGTATTTGGGTATTCCTCAAAGCAGATTGTCATAAAATTCTTCCATCGTTTAAACCTCACCAGCCTCGATCTTCTGCAGAGCAGAGGGGAACTCGGACCAGTCACGCATGATGACAACAGCACCAGCCTCTCTCAAAGTCTTCTCCATCTCAGGCTGCTTGTCCTCAGCATAAGGACCAACGTATCCAATGACCTTGATGCCTGCACGGGTACCGCTAAGAGTACCGCTCTTGCTGTCCTCAATGGCAACAGCCTCCTCGGCCTTCTTGCCCAGCTTGTTCAGGGCGTGGAGGTAGACGGCGGGGTCAGGCTTGCTGGTAGGCTTCTCAAGACTTGTGGCAGCAGAGAAGACAACATCGCCAGGGAAGTACTTGTCCTGGCCAACCTTCTCAATGGAAGCGCGAACACGTCGAAGGGCTGAAGAAGAGACAACAGACATGGTGTACTTTCCGGAAGAAGAAAGCTTCTCGAGCTGCTCATCAACACCAGGGCAAGGCTTGAGAGCCTCGTTAATCTTGGCGATGACAGCGTCCTCCTCCTTTAGGACGTACTTCTCGAGGTCATCGGGGGAGATGTCGATGTTGTAGTTCTTTTGGAGGGTGGTGAGCATGCCGCGGAAGTTTTGGCCGACAAACTCCTTGATGAGAGTCTCGCCGGTGAAGCGCATGTCGACCTGGCGGGACTCGCAGATCTCGTTGATGAGACCAGCGCAGGCCTCGAAGGCCAACTCCTCGGAAAGGACGAGGGTGTTGTCGCAGTCGAACAGGAGTGTGTTGATCTGCAATTACATGTTAGCGGCACCGCTCAAGGTGTAAGCAGTATAGAAGTCGCATACCTCAGGCATTTTGACGGATTGTATTGACGAAAGTTCTAGAGAAGATGCAGAGGTAAGTTCCAAGAGGAATTGGACGTGTTAAGTAGGCAAAGAAGGAAGAATGTCCTAGAAAAACGGTGGAGCGAGGAATGGAGGTGGAGGGAGAAGACGAGAGTAATGGAGCAACTGTGGGGGAACGGAGGTTTTATGGAGGAGCTGCCTTTCCTTGATTCAACCTTACCTTACGGAGGACGCTCAGACTGCGACGGAAAGAGCTGGAGCTGATGGTACTGCAGCAAGCTGTAATTGGAACATGCAAGTGCAACTGGGGCTCCTGCTAAGTCCAACTACGGGGGTTGCCCGGGTTGGACTGTGACTGTTAATACTAAGGTAGCAACGGAAGGTTGCTGATGAACGTGCATCAGCCATCCGGCGCGTGTAAGACTGCACCAGGTTGTTGAGAAACCCCGCGGACGAGGGGGGGATAACAGAGGCATCATGATTATACGTCAGACTAGAAGTGTATAGTTATATGAACCCCTATTAGCTGTTAACAAAGCTAATAGTCACATAGACTGTATATAATACCTATGTACGTTGTTCAGATATCTTGTTGAGAAACCACCAGCACGTGCAAGTCAGACAAGACAAAACAAAACCCCTCGCGATCGCGAATCGAATAGAATCACAGCATGTACTGTATGAGCATGATTAACTGCCCCTCCCCCTCCATTCAAGCTAACTAAGGTCCGACTAAGAACCGCCAAGTGTCGTCATCGCTGCACTTTGAATCCCTGTTAAGCAAGACGCTAAGAGAGGGGACCCGTTTTCTTCCCTTCTTCTCTTTACTCCTACCGGCCCGCATCAGCGACTTTGCTCTTTGAGCCTCTAACAAGCATGAGTTCTTAGCATGGACCAGGGTTACTCGGCAGTAAACGGTTGGCTGGCTTGTGAGAGAAAAACCTCTCATAAACATCTCCAAGTAAACATGAAAACTGCAGTGTCGGAGAAGTCGAACCGACAACCCGTTTAATCAATAAGCCATGCCCATGTAAACAGTAACTCGGCAACAGTGGGCCCAAACTTCAACAACCCTCGTCATACTTGGCTCCTCTCTTCGGCTTTGAGGGATTTGTATCAGCCCATTTACCACAAAATTAACATATAGCATCACCGGCTCGTCGGATCGTGATCGCATCAGCGGGACACTATAAGAGAAATACACGTAAGAGCCAATTCGTCAGATCTTCAATCTGTCTTCGTATTACAGACCCTATATAAGATATAGTTGCTAACTAATTAAACCATCAAATGGATATCAAAGTCACATGCTAAAACTCCCCTTCTTCCTCCTATAGCTTTGTATTCTTCGACCAGGGCTCCTCATAGACAAGGCCCAACCCATCAAACTTCCACTCTTTTCATTATTCGTAAATTCCCCAACGCCAAAACACCAATGATATATAATGCAAGTCGTTGTGACCCAATCAAGGTGCTACCGGGCAGAAGAAATCCCAGCACACCTCGAGCATTCGGTTGATTGCAAACAGTTTTGCCCGTAGCGAGCCTCTATAGAATCTCCTTCAACTTCTGCTTCTGGTCGGCAGTCAAACTCGAAGGGAAGTTGATCTTGTACTTGACGACAAAGTCGCCTCGCTGGCCTGGCTTCTTTGAAATTGGCATACCTAGACCGGGATAACGCTCCTCACTGTTTGGCTGAGTGGGACCTCCCTTCTCCAGGTTGAGTTGTCGACCGTCGATCGTGGTCACTGTTCGCCTCCAACCAGTCAGCGCCTCCTTGAGGTCAAGAGTGACAGTGTGGATGAGGTCGTTGTCCTCGCGCTTGTAGAGAGGATGTTCCTTCTGTAAACACGTTAGTTATCTAATCGTACCTATGGTTTTCTGGAGCTTTTGCTTACCTCTTCGACAATAAAGTGAAGATCCTGGCGACCTCCCTCTACTTGATCGCCGACTCCGTTAAACTTGATCTTGGAACCCTTCTTCAGACCTGGCTTGATAGGAACTTCGAGGATTTGATCGGTCTGTACCCGCTTCTGGGTAGAGTCGTCAAAGGTCTTGCGCTTGATCTTCATCTTCTTGGTGACGCCATTAAACAACTCCTCAAGTGTCAGAGGCAGAGGTCGCTCGACAGTGGTGACCTCAGGGGTGGTTTCTCTGGCTCGAGGCTCGAAACCGGATCGTGCACGTGAAGCGCGGCTTCGAGCACCGCCGTATCCGCCAAACATGCCTGCCATATCATCGTCATCAACACCGCCGTGCATGCCGCCAGCTCCGTTGCGCATGAACTCGGCGAAAATATCTTCTGGGTTGCTGAAACCAAAGCCGCCAGCACCTCCACCGCCGGTGTTGAAGTGGAAGGTTCGGGTGCCTCCGCCAGGCATACCACCACCACTGAAGTCGAATCCGCCGAACCCACCGGGCATACCTCCAGCAGCGAAGGGGTTACCACCGGCGCCGGCACCGGCACCGCCTTCGGGCTGAGCGCTGCCGCCGCGGAGGAGGAACTCGAGACCGTATTGATCATAGATCTTGCGCTTCTCGGGATCGGAAAGGATTTCGTATGCTTGTGAGCATTCTTTGAACTTTTCAGCCGCATCGGGGCTATCCTTGTTCTTGTCTGGGTGCCATTTCAAAGCAGCTTTTCTGTGGAAGAACAATGGTTAGCATAGCTGTATAGAGGTAAGATTGATGCAGGTTGCGCGAAGGTCGAGTTTTTCGATATGATGCTTCATACTTGTCAAATCCTTGAAAGCAGCATGGGGTGGCCATGATGCATTCGAAGGCGGTAACATGATAAAAGAAGTCGTGATCGGTATTGCGCCTTCGTAGCTCCGCATATGGAAATATGTTTACTTACTTGTATCCCTTCTTAATCTCATCCTGAGAAGCCTCAGGCTTGATATTAAGGGTATCGTAGAGCTTAGTCTCTTTGACCATTGTGGCTCGTGGTCAATGTCTCTAGTAAGGTAGGTTTGCGATGTGGTTCGAATGTGTTGAGGTAAAGGTGAAAGCGGTGGAAATGAAAAAAAGCAGTGTAGGTGTAGGTGTCGCTGCTTTCTATAAAGTTAAACCAAAAGTGCAAAGGTTTGTTTTTGAATTGAAGTGAGGTTAAAGAGGGGGATGTTTTAGTGTAAGAGTGAGTTTCCAAGAGGTGAAGAGGATAAAATGGGAGTCAGGACTACCTAATGACATTAACACTTCAACGCCATGCGACCGTGACATAGGATTTAGAGAAGCCACCACTGAGAAATACTGGGGCATGGGACCTTGTGGAAGCTTCCAAGGGGGAAAAGGACACCGCCAGGCCTGGACAAAGAACTTGATATGGAATAGACGCTGGCTGGCTGGCCTTCCATTACCTACATGGGGTGGGGGTGACGTCGAGTCGATCGATTTCCATAGAGTTTCTTTATGTACCTCTACATAAGTTACTGTACTTGTTTGTTTCACTTCTGCTGCTGTAACTGCCAGTAAATGTTTCTATTTTTTCTTGTATAAAACGGCCTTCAAAACTCAATTCCTGCATCACGCATGTCAAAAAAATCGGTCGGTCATGCTCTGCCGCAGTCTCGTGTCGGGCTGGGCTCTCAACCTGTCGATACCTGACGGTCTTCGCAGGGATAAAGTGACCTATGACGATACCTAGCCGTGGTGGAGATAGCGCCCCAGACGCCCGAAATCCAGTCCAAGACCTCCAGCTCCGGAGCTCGAGATGGTTCCTGGAAGCTTGAGCGGGTCTTGACGAGGCTTGATACTTGGCCTGATGCTAAGATCTCGCCCATGCGTTATGCTTTCAATCGCCGTCTGTAGGTATAGGTGTTTCGTAGTACCTTGTACATAGTACCTAGGTTTCTGTTGTGATCCTAGATCTGTAGCGCCAACTTGACGGTTTGCTCCCCACCGTAAACTGCAGCTATTCCCGTCAACCCCGGTTTGTAGTCGAAGCTTCTAGAACCTTCGAAGCCATTAGCTACAGCTAGATGCTGTTCAAGATAGGTAGCTCAGGTTTATTACAGAAAAGATGTATGGAGCATAAGATCATATTGAATTACAGGCATAAGATCGTTGCTAGTGACTTGGAGTATTGGCTTTGAGCTATCTGTCTAACTGTTGTCGCAACAGCTTCGGATTTGCCGCTTGGTGTGTCATGATACCATATCCATGTTATCATATCACCATATCGCAAAGCTTGCGAGGGGTGAAGGCCTGTACAAGGTCTTGACCTCTTCTAGTTACGTTATTTTACAATCAATTTGTACCTACACGAAAAGATCTGAAGCAAATCCAAAGTAATTATAATATATATCATAACTGGAGTGTTGGACTATACTCACGCCAAGCTCCGCTACAGAACCGATCCAGCTTATGCCTCGGACTTCTGTATTCCAATTACGCAGCAAGAATAACAATCCAACTCTCTATCACTTTCAATGTTAATCATTTGACTGATAGCAGAACGGTTTTTCGTTATTACTTCGATACCTACCGTCCTCAACGTTCAAGTATGAATGAATGCACGTGTATGCCAAGCATTTTCCTTATCTTATCACTCTTTTAGTGAGTACCTGCCCCTCCGCGGCTGCTCAGCGCAACCTTCTACCAGGGAAGCGAAGTGATAGTAGAAGCTGCTCACTCGTTGGTTGTTAGAGGTCCTTCTTCATTCCTGCATACCCATACCTCCTCAACCTCATCAACCTCAACACGATGGCGTCCAAAGAGCCTTCGGAGGCCGATATTGATAACTTGATTGACTGTTGCGGTCTGAACGCTATACACGATCGCGATTTGGCAAGACAAGCGCTCAAGGTCAGCTCCGAGCCAATACCTTTACCCAGTAACCGTTGCGACTAACATGTATTTTCTTCGATAGCTCAATAACAATAATGGAGACGTGGCTGCCGGCGAGTTCTATACTAACGGAGAGGACAATGTATGGGTATTCCTGTATGAAAGTACTAGTCGCATGCTAAAACACCGTAGTTTCGATCGAGGTACACGAAGCTCTGGGACGACTCAGCATTCAGCGCGGACAGGGACGGCAACAGCAATAATGCCGGAATATGTCAGTTCCTTCATATATCTCACTCCCGTGCCTCTAACCAGTTTTCCAGCGTTCCATGTCGAATCTTCCGATCACGCCGTTATCCAAGGCGTAACTCCCCCGCCCGATTCCCATATGTTTGGCGCTCCCTCAAGACCTCCTTCACGATCAAATAATCGATCTCCTCTGGGTACGATGGTGGAATGGGCTGCGGCACATGCGCCCGGTATTTCTCTTTCCCAGTCCGACGAGCATCTACTAACCGGGTCGTATACAGGTGTCCCGAATAGCCAGGCACAGGAAGACGACGATGTACAACGAGCCATTCGCGAGTCGGCGCAAGAGGCTGGAATAACGATTCCCGAACAAGAAACCGGCTTCATAGGTCCATCGGAACCGGCGCCTACTCAATTTGGCCCAGCAAATCGCGAAACCTACGAGGAGAGCCAATGGGCAATGGTTCCTGTTGGGCCAGCTAGCAAAGAGATCTCCACGAACGACCCGAAGCCGTCAGAAAGAAAGAGGATACAAAGCGCCCCTGCAATGCTGATAAAGAGCAGGCTAGGAGAGCATGATCATCGACTGGGCGGTCTCCTCACGATCATGCATGAAATTCCCATGGTCCGAAATATCCTTCTCAACATCGGTAACCTAGCTACAACATACGGCAATAACAAGGATTGGTGGAAAGGGGAGGAGATCTTATCACAGGAGGTTGTGGCAAAAATGAATGAAGAGATGACCTGGGAACCGGGACAACACAACAGCAGCACTGCGTTCGAAGAGGAAATCCACCGCCTAATGGCTTTTCTGGATTCCACCGAGCGTGCATACGGCTCGGTATCTATGCTGACGGAGCTGATGAAGTTCCATGGCATTGGCACTGAGAAGCACTTTTACGAGATGCTACAGGACAGACATGGTGAAGCGATCAGGCCGCTCACACAGGTTGCTACTGTTGCACCTTTCCACGGTGGCGCCATGGAAGAGAACGTCAACTTTGGTTATCTCGAAATAGAACACTCAAGAAACGAGTACAAGTGCATCAAGACATTGTATGAGGCACTCGACCACGTAATGTGGAGTGATGCACTTGGACCGGAAGCCATTCAAGAAGACTCCAAAGTGGCATTTTTCAAAGAAATGGGCGATGTTTTGGTGCTCGATATATCTGGTGATGGACCAAAGGAGTCAATCGAAATACCTCATGAATTCTATCCAGAGAAATACCTGGTCTCTCGACAAGACGAGGCCCGCCGCATCCAGTACGGTTGGCGCCAGACGAAAGAGGATATGGCACGTCTTGAAAGAGAAAAGGAGCAACTCGATCAACTGAAGGGGATTTGGGCCACCGGCAATATTAACACAAAGTCTGGCCTGCTGAAAAAGGCAGTAGAGCAGTGGGAGGGTTACAAGAGTTACCTTGACGGTTTTAGACAATTCACGGCGTTGCTGAATTCGGGATTCAACACTGACAAGGATCCCGACTGCCGCGAGGCTGCTCCCGACCGCGACGATGAACAGGAAAAGCGATATGAGACGGTTGAGCAGGTAATTGAGTACTCGAAGACGTTGCTCGAAAGTCTAGAAAACAGAATGAAGGGTAGGTCTCAAAACTCGGAAAGATGGAGAACATTTTGACTGATTGATTACAGACCTCGATACAGAGATGGAACAGGTTGCGAAGAAACAAAGAGCTCTGGGAAGGCTTCTCACGGTGCCGGACAAGCCAGGTCGTCCGAAGCCCATGACATGCAAAAAGTACCTGCTTCGTGGAGTGGCCACTTCGTCGGACGTTGTCTATGTCTGTCAGCGTGAAGAAGAGGATTTGATAGAACTCAGCAACGAGAACAACCGCGTTGATCAATGGTGGAGACTGGCATATGATTCGCACGGAGATGGATCAACCACACGGGTCGAGGTAGGGAACAAACATGTTTGAAAGATCAGTGACTAACATGATCACAGAAAATCAAGACCGAGGAGCTATTCGAGGATGTGTGGCATGAAACCAGGAAGCCTCTGCTCGTATATGCCACCGAGGAAGCCCTCGGAACCTCGAAGCAGCGACTTCCACCTCAGCTAGAGCTGTTTGTTAAGGTGGACAACAAAGCTTTTCGGCAGGAGTTGACTGAAGAAGAGACGACGGCTGAAGTAAAGCCAACACCCAGTTCTGACCACCCTCTCTCGCCTCTCTCACCTTCAAAAAGAAAACATCGAGCTGACAGCGTCGGTTCAATGGACAGCAACCGTGCTTCCATTGGCAGCGATGGCAGAAATGGATTCGACAGCCCATTTGGTTTTCAAGATGATCACACAGGTACTGAGATGGAGGATTATGGAAGCTCGTCGAACTATATCCACAGTAGCGATATCTTGGACGATCCTCCTACCCTCCCAGCTCGCCCTCAAGGCTCAACTACGTCCACAACAGAGCCAACTTCGGCTACCATGACACCTAATACGGTCGAAGCCGACTATGTGGACAGTGAGGAGCCTCGAAGTCCGGAGATGCAAGAGAAGTCTAGACCCCCTCCTTTCATGTCGATCTCGAGAACCCCGTCCGAAAGAAAGGAGCCGATCAATCTGATGGATATGGACATACCAGACGAGAAGCAATAGACGGCTTACGATGTTGCTTTTGGCTTGATGAGAGGGATATGGCAGCCGTTGCACTGGTGGCTTGGCTTGTCATTTTCCCCCCTTTGAAAATGAAGCACGGGCGGACGATAGGAATCGCCGCTGTCTATGACACGACATGATTATTGCTTTAGCATTTGAGCGTAAGGAGTTTTCTCTTGCCCTGGCATGTAGGGCAGGCAAGGGTGGTTGCATAACGTCAAATTAGTGGTTTTCGATATCAATATTAGGCGTCTAGAAGTAGATGTCTTACCGCGCTGTCGTATTAATGGCTTGTGAAACAGCCTCTAACCAATATATTGCTGATCATGCTGCTCACACAATCGGGTCTTCGATTTTGTTTTTAATAGTTATGCGGTTACCCTTGACTCCATCTTGGAAATTTTGCCAAGGGCATCTCGACAAACGTTCATCTGATGGTCTTTCCTCGGACTTTTGGCACCTCAGTATACTTGGTGAATCGCGTCTGAAATGTGTATTCTGTCTATAAAGAAATCAAGAATCAAAAATACACCGTTTGCTCCTTATAACAGCATGCGTAAATCAGAGACCGCCGGTCTGTCCCAGTCCCCATCATGCCAAGCCCATGCCTTATCGAGACTATTCTAGTCGGGACAGTCCGCATCGTTAACGCCCTAAGTAAATAAAACACAACCCGCTATGCCGCCGACCTTATTGTAGATGAAAATGACGAAACCACCAAATGCCGAGGATACCAGGGTTGAAAAGTAGCCCAGTACGTCATATTGGCCTGCCCAAAAAATGCACTACCGCGCCAGGACGTTTATCTGCGGTCTCTAACATCATCGTCGTCTTCGTCGTCGTCCTCATCGAATTCGTCCATATCCTCATCACTGTCGCTACCGCCAAAATCCTCTTCCTCATCTGTCATGTTCCAAAAGTCGGCATCGTCGTCAACTGGCTTTTGTGGTGCAACGGTGAGTTCGGAGGGAGTGGGCATGCGGGAACCTGTTGGTATGTCCTTCTGAGACTTATCAACGATTTCCTTTGCCCGCCTGTTGTATTCGTTCTTGTTGTCGCGGTAGAGTACGCTCGCGTCGACGTTCGCAGGGGAGTTAATCTCGGGATCGTCGAGCAGGAGCAGGACGGATCGGAGAACGGATTCGACGCCGTGAAGAACATTCCAACGCTCGCTCGCCAGCTCGCCCGACTGCTCGTCTTCTCCTGGCTTGTGGAGAATGGAAATGCAGAGATTACCGTCTGGGTAAACGTTGGGATGGCAGATATTCTTGGTCAGGAATTTGAAAGTAGGAGGCTGGTATGGATACTCGGGCGGGAACTTCATCTCGGCCTTGAGGTAGGCGCCGTGCCAGACGCTGTCGGGGTTGACGACCCAGAGACCGAGTTTCCAGCGAAGGATGTTTGAATCGTCGGTCTAGAGGATGTGTGAGTTCTCATCTCTGTCAATACAATCAGATGCAACCTACCTCAATGTTGACCCATTTCTCCTTCTGGAGGGGCTGAAGCTCCTGCATAAGTCGCTTTTGCGCCATGATGTGGTGACTGATGACGGATTACCGGTTTAAGTCTGTGTGTCGTACCGCCGTCCTACAATAGAGAATCCTCCAAATGAGCGAGTGGGTGAAATGAAAAGACCGAAAGGCTTGGGTTCCAAAGTCAAGATGTTTGGTGCAGGTTGGTCAGTCAGGTCAGGCTTAATAAGTCAGGCCAGAGCCGGAGGCGAAGGGCGTGGAAAGGGCGGTCGAGGAGGGGCGAGAGTAAAGAAGGAGGCCCGTGGAAGTAGAAGCCCGGTGGTTGCGGCTTCGGCGATTGGCGCAGAAGCGGTACGCTGTAACTAGTGGCAGCGGCAGTGGTGTTGGTGTTTAGGGATAAAACAACTGAGCTGAGGTGAGGTGAACTGGCGGGTATTTTGCTTTGTTGGCAACTCCTGCTTGGGTACTTTTTGACTCTCAATGAGAAGAAGACAAGGTTGTTGTATGAAAGAGGTTTATCTGCTGGTCTGCTGAGGTCGTCTTCGTCTAAACAATAACCTTGATGGGCGTATGCTTTCAACTAGACAAAAAGACAGAATAGTTTTGAGAATGAACAAAAAAGGAGCCGCCTCTTAATAACTTTCTCCACACATTCAATAAAGAAGCAAATATCTTTCAGGGCAGCAAAAGAATAATAAATGGGGAAGAAAAGAAAAGAATTGAATTACATACATGGAAATCAATAGTTGGTTCATTGGACTTATCAATAAAAGAGAGTCATTCACATCGGCCAGGCCGCCGCCCCGGAACCGGGGGTGTAGTCTCAGTAGAGTACCTGGGTTCCATTAACATCCAATCCAATCCCTGCTGGTGACCGCAGTAACACCTGCCACCTGGTTTTGGTTCTAGTTGGGTTAGGTATCTGGGTGTCTGACAGTGACGCCTGCCCTGTTTACGCTTGCTTTGCCCCCCCTCGTGCCTGCTCCAAAAGAAAAACTGACGTCGACATCTTGTTGGTCCCTTGACTCCACTTCGGTCCCACTTAGCCCATCATGCCTGCATGCTTACTGTACGTGCCCATTTATTCCCGTTGGCTCCAATGATTAATGATTCCTAGTCGTCGGTGCATCCATTCAATTTGATGTTTGGAGTTTACCTATGATTATCAGCGCCGAGGGTTTGGGTGAAGAACCATAATGATCAGCACTTATAGGCGCCTTGGTGAAAACAAACTTCCTAGCTCTTCACGTTTTCTCTATATATAGATCAGCTGGGCGCAAATCCAAGCAACCCGATTCCATTTGTTTCAACTACAGGGTTAGCATGATGAAGCAGTAGAACTTCTGATTTGGTGTCATAATTGTTTCAGTTTACGAGATCTGTCAAAGCAGATACAGTTTGGTCAAGCAAGGAACGTAGAATGAGTTGAGTTAATTCATTCAAATCTATCTTTCTGGCTGAGTACCAATGAACTCACGCTATCTGCCATGCAATGCATGATCCAATATTCATAGGCACATAAGCAATATATCTTTCCATATATGACATCCCACTGAACACCATTCCAACATATCAAGCACCCAGATCGTAATAGACGCAGTTGCCGGAGCGAAAGTTGTAGAGGAACGCGTGCCTCGACCCGTTCTTCTTCAGATATTTGTATCTCAAAGTATCCAACTGGTCGTGGATCTCGCGTATGTACTTCTTCTCCGTAGTCGTCACTGAATGTTCGACTTGTCGCCATCCATCTGGCTCTGAGAGACATGTCTCGCGCATCAGGTCCATAACCTGGTCGGTTGTCTCAATAGCCAACACTGGTCCTTCTAGGAACGATCGCACCAAACTGTTCGCACTGACTTGGGCTTGTTCCACAACCGTTCTACGGTTGAACTTTTTACTCCGCGTTTGTGCCACCAGTACAAGAACTTCCTGCTCAGAATCTTTGTCGCCCGAGTGGGTGTCCGCCGAACTGTTGCCACGGAGTTTGACCACTGATCGTGAATCGCGTTCTCGAATCTCGTTACGAAGCCAAGAAAGCAGCTGTGTTGTTGGTATGTCTGCATCCGGGACATCCTTTCGTCCCATACTCTTGATCTTCAAGATTGCATCCTGTTTGATAATGATGATCCAGGAATACGTTTCGTCACGATGTTTCGACAACAAGTCTTCAGGCGATCTAGCATCTTTGGCCATCTCAGCGCTAATGTCGTGCGCCCAGAGAGTCTGGAGTATCTCAACGCCCGACGATCTCAGCACAGCAGCATCGAAACTGGCAACAAGACAGTCACACTGCAGCAGATAGTCAGTATAAGCCACAAGTTGTAGCTGTCAGTGATAAACTTACTCGTCGAGTGTTGAATGAGCCATTTGTTTCGTCCTCGGATTTCTTCAAGAACGAGCGCCCCCCAGTTTTGGGAGGCTTTGCCAGTCGCTCCCATGCCAAACTGAATCCAACAGCGTGCCTCTCTCCAAACTGACCCCCAACTCTCGGTCGATGCTCCTTGATCAACTGATCATATCTGCCACCAGCAGCGAAAACTTCCTTGACCTTTTTGTCGTACAGGCAAGAGAAAAGGACACCTCCGGTGTAGAAGGCCTCCTTCAGACTGTTGAGAGGATTGATGTAGATCTTAGTTCCCACACTGAAGCGCTTACAATACTCAACAACTTCTTTGAGATGAGCGATGGTCGGCGAGGCTCGCTGGTACATCTCGCTGCCCTCAAAAAGAGTCTTGAGCTTGGCAAATGTCTTATTGGGGGTGTCTACTTCGCGTCAGTTATGTCGCATTCTCCTGGAGAGCCACTCTTCTTACCTCTAAAATCGAACTTCTGAAGTTCATCCACACTTGTAGCTGAGACACCTACAGTTGGCGACCGCAGTTCAATCCTAATTTTCTGCCAGGTGTAATTGTGAATGTTCAGCTTACTCAAGACATCTGCTGTTCCGCGCCGACTGGCGGGCTCGATACCGCAATGCTCAAAGATAAGATGCAAAAGATCCGAGTGTCCAAGATGGAAGCACATGGCTGTTGTGGACAGTGAAGGGAACGTGTGAATGATTTCATCAATCACTTTGAGAACCTCTGCTTCTTTGAGAGCAAGGTCAAGTGTATCCGTGGTGACAATATCAAAATCGACTTCTCCAAACATAAGCGGCTGTCCCGTATCCTGCTTATCACGGAACACGTTGCCAAAAGTAAACGTTCGCTGAACAACTGGTCCGTTGGTTTGCTTCGCCATCATTCTCGCATTTCCAAGAGTCAGGTCATATGGTAGTTGGAGCACATTCCCATTAGGATCCAAAAGTTGAACGGCATTATCGCCATAGTGAGAAGACCTTGGATAAATGATGCCGCGAGGGGTTTCCAAAGCGCCATGGCGACGGAAGATGGAGATCAACTCCTGCTTTGCCAAGCCCTGATTAAGCAATTCCTGCGGACTCATGTTCGCCGAAGACATATCCCAGGCATAGTTCTTGGTAGGTTCCATGCGTTTCGCAAAAAGCGTCGAAAGCATCTTGCGATAGTAAGGAGAGCTGGGGTCTGCAAGTCCTGCCAGAGTGCGCCTGATTGTCTCGCTTTCCATCTGAACCGGCAGCTTGCCGCTCTTTAAGAGATCGGTACTCGAAGGTCTTTCTTTAGGATTGTGATTCACCAAGGACAACACAATATCGGTCTGGGCTTTCTCCGCGGGCTTAAAGTCTGATGGCAACACTGGCTGCGGCTGTCTAAGCTGACCAAGGACATCGGCCTTTTGCATGCCCATCATGGGCAAGTAGCACATTTCGAAGAAGATAATACCTAGGGAATACATCTGGTATTGTTAGTTAGAGAAATGACCACAAGTGACTTGATCCACTTACATCGACTTTTGTGCTATATATACCATTCACAGTCGATCTGACTTCAGGTGCTGAATAGTAGGCCGTGCCGATACTTCTCGTCATGTCGTCTGTTTCCAGGGTGTTCGAAGTGATAGTCTTCTCAACCGAGAACTGTCCACTGGTGGCAAGTCCAAAATCACCAATCTTGACATTGTCAATCCCATCCGAACTACTGCCGATGAATATGTTTTCCGGCTTGAGATCACGATGAACAATGCTTAATCCATGGATATGAGCCAGCCCTTCGAGGATTTGACGGAAAAGGCGCCAAATCTCTGCCGTGTTCTTGTACAGGTTCCTAGTGATAAGATCACGAAGTGTCTAACGGAATTCGTAAGCATTTTATATCCTCGATGTACTTCAAAAGCCGGATGACTCACTCGTTTTTCACAATACTCCATGGAAATGTAGAGTATGGTTCGGTACGACCGTTGATATTTAGATCGTCGCTGGAACATGGCATTCCTTTCTTTATCTGGAGACACAACACGATGGATAGACATTTCATCCAACGACTCGTCATCAGAGTCTGTTGTGTCCTCTTCTTCGCCCTCCTCTTCCTCGTCGTCGTCGTCCTCTCCTTCGTCCGAATCATCTTCATCTTCATCTTCGTCCGAATCCGACTCCGAGTCTTCGAATCCATAGTCTACACCGGCGTTGGATGATATGAAATCGAGACCTCCTGTACTAGTGCCGAATTGGATATCAATACCAGCAGACTCCGTACCTTGGGTGTTTTCCTCTGTGATGTAACCGGTTGACGTGTCGTCCTCGGCATCGCCCTGGTCAGAGATTTCCTCAACCCATGTGTTGTAATATCGAACAACAGCAGGATGGCTGAGCTGAGACAGCAATCGAACCTCTTTCAAGATTTCTGTAAGGCTGGACTGTGATCGCTGTGTGATCTTCTTGATGGCATAGATCTGTCCGTCAAGTTTCTTCCTCGCTTTGACAACTTCTCCAAAGCCCCCCTTTCCCAATCTGCCTTCTTCAACAAAGTCCTCGGTGTATCGTGACAGAGAAGGTCCTCGATGGTTGGTTGAATCGCGCCGAAATCTTGGAATGGGCTGCAATGAAGTCGCAGGGCTGCTTGACAGGATGGCGGATGAATCATCGAAAAGAACCGGTGCATCCGTGGCCAAGAACTCGCTGGATCCAAGCTCGAAAGCCCTGGGTCTTTTCTGTTTGTCCTCCCTAAAAAATCTACTCACCAATTCGTGTAAAGAATGCGAAAGGGTGACTGATTCCATCAGGTTCTTGGGTGACGAGTACGTTCGTAGCACGTCGAGGCCAAAGATCATTTGGACAAATACAACACCAAAGTCCCAGATATCAGTCTTGAAAGTATACTGAGGCTTTGATACGCTGGCGATTTCTGGAGGAAGCCAGTAGGCAGACTTCGCAGTATGTAATCCAGGAAGTCCCAGTTTGTGAGAGTTGATGGAGTGGATTTCTCTCTGGTACCAAGCATCAGAAATCTTAGGAATAATTTCACCTGTAGCTTCTCTGAACAGAAGAATATTCCCCGAGTGAATATCTTGGTGAGCAATATTCTTGTTGTGGAGGAAGTTGAGTGCATCTAGCAGGTCCCGCGTCCAAGAACGCACTTTGCCAATCTCAATCTGTCCTGCAAGCTCCAACAACTCCTCTAAAGGACCTTTCTCTGCCAGTGGTGATAAGATACTTATGGTCCATGCATTTGCGACATGAGGATCCGTAGCAAGTCCCGCCTGGACTCTGAAGTCTAAAATATCAACGAGATGGCGGTGATGAACTCGTTTTACAGTCTTAAGATCCTGAAGGCGAGATTCTAGACTCTGGAGTTGATGTTTGAACTCCTTAGAGTCCTTGTTTGTGGTACGCAAGATGGTCTCTTTCAAAGCCATAGTCAAGCTACCTTGTCCATTAGCCAGAACAGGTCTGACTGTATAAACGACAGACACGGGGCCTTGTCGTGGATCGCATTTGCCTGCAACAGCTTTGAAGACAATGCTATTTCCCGACTTGTCCGTAGCATCGCAGAACTGATCAAACTCGATCACCTCGTCTGTCTCTGTACTGGCACTGAGTTCCTGAGGGGTGTTGCCGTTAGGACGACGCTTCGACTCCTTGGCCTTCTGTTTCTGTCGGTCGATTTGTTGTTGAAGCATCTCGGCCATGACACGCTCCTCTTCCTGGGCCTCTTCCATCTTCTTGCGTTCTTCAGCTTCCTTCTTCTCCTGCGCTAGCTTTGCCATGTAAGCTTCGTGGCGTTCTCTTTCTTCCTCGAGGGACGGTAGGTGTTTGCCATCTGCCTTTGCTTGCGCAGCATCCTCGAGGATGTCCCTTACTCCTTCAACAATCTGGTCGATCATTTCCTGTGCATCTTGCGCAAATATTTTGGGTTTTGTCTCCAAGAACTTTTGGATCTTGAACTGTGTGACTTCCTTAAAGTCATAGTTCTTCAATGTGACGAGAGGTGGTGATTTCGGGTAGGTTGCAGTCATAACAAAGCTCAGCGTGCAAGCAAAGTCTTCATCTTTCGATGCTTTTATCCGTATGTCAAAATGTGGTTCGGTTTTCTATAGGCCGTGAGCTTCGATTGCCCAGTTGGATCTCGAAGGGTAAGTCGAGGGGGGACGTCGTAGAACTCTACCTTCCAAGCGCTTTGGGTTCCCGAATGCATAACAAAGTCATCGCCATAAATGGCCTCGAGGGCGAGAAGCTCGTTCTGCTGTAGTTCTTCATATTCGATTTTGTTGTTGACCTCCGGGCTCGCAGTAGGTTGGAGACCGGGGAAGCTTGAGTCATTGGTGTCGTTATTGAGAGTCAAGGGCTTCTTCCATACCCCAGGTTGTTTCCCCGCCATGTTTGCGCAGGTTCCAGAGGAGAGTCGAGTCACAGCAAAAGCCGTGACACTCTACAGGGAAAGAGCCATGACGGCGAATACTAATAATTAAAAATGAGATAAATGGTTGTATAAGGTCATCCAGTGAATGGATGAAAGATAAGAGAAAGCTCCCTCTGACGTCGGGTCGCAAAAAGTGGCGGGGTAGTTTTAATACGTGCTCCCGCGTATTTCCACTTAATGACTGCCAGCTCAGTTTGCGACGCTCTTACAAAGGCGGTGTCGTGCCATCGAATTACAGGCGGCCACAGGGCTGATGAGGGGTTCACAGCGGTTCTTGCGGCGTCCAATTAGTGTTTGGAGTCACCTGAACCGCCTGGCACGCGCTGCAGGAATGCCTTATTCTGCATTAGCGCAGGCCCCTAGACACCTATATTCCTTGGAAGAGCTGGAAGGGTGGGGCGCCAGGGTCTTGACTGCATTTGCTTGGCCATGATCTACGGCAGCTGAAAGTAAACATACAGAAACGAAAGTCAACATTGACATCCAACGGCGACCAATCTTATCCTACCACAACAAAACAGCCAACAACATAGCAGCGCAGGCCCAAGAATAAATGTTGCTGTCCCAACTGTCATAATCGCTGATGCGAGCTCTTTTCTCTCTTTAATTAATCAACTGCTTGCTCGCTCACACGCAGCACGATCACAAGATGCTAGGTTGGATGTTGAGACGCGGCGAGAACGCGCCAGAGCCAGTCAATTCAGTCAATGATGGAGGTTCGCACCGTTAGCTCTGGAAAATATGGTCGATTCAACTTCTAACGTTTTCCACCAGATACAACTCAAATTGACGTGCCTGACACTCCTGCGCCCGTCTTTGCTGCCAGGGCATTCAAGAGTGCATTGTTTGGAACTCCAGCGCGGCCTACAAATCAACCCACGAGAGCAAAGGACAAGAATTCTAGGATGGATCAGGAATCCTCCCGAACGCCACCGCGACCGCAAGGGATTCTTCTGACGCCAGGAACGGGCACTACGAGACGAAAGCGCGTATCGTTTGGACAAGATGTTAAGAAAAATGCCAATACAAACAAAGAACCAGAATCGCGCCAGCGCACGCGCTTGAACGATGCTCTCGAGAAAGCATCAAAATCTATAAGTCAAAAGAACGAAGCGCAACAAGAACAGGACAATTCCTCGGATGAATGGGAAGAAGCCGATGACGAAGATTACTGTACTCACGACATCACGATCGATCTTAACGAGCCTCATTCGCAGTCGGGCAGATACTGGAAGGAAGAGTTTGAGAAGTACCACGAGGATGCGAAAGCGGAGATGGAGAAATTGCTCAAGTACAAACAATTGGCAAAGTCCTACGCCAAACAGAAGGACGCAGAGGCGATTGAGCTCGCAGTCAAACTCAAAGAAGAACAACTCAAAGTAATTGAGATGGAGAAGCAGATTGCAGAAGGCGCCTCTAAAATGGCATCGAAGCGTGCAGACCGGCCAGACGAGAGCAACTCTGATCTTCTATCGACACTCACCAAACAAACAGCACTGGCGGTGCAATACCGAACCCGAGTGCAGGAGCTGGAGGACCAACTCGAGGAATTTCTCCGCGAACGAGAGGACGACCCAGATTCGAACGATCGAAAACGACGACAGGCGACATCACCAAGAACCCAGAAGACCCTTCTTGAAACGCAGCGCGAATTGAGGCGCGCTCGCATGCAGGTCAAAGAAGTCGGTGATCTTCGAGACCAGATATCTTCTCTAAAGACTCAACTCAAAGCGGCTGAAAAACGAGCCGCTAAAGCTGAAGCGAACAGCGAAACGGGAAACAGTACGAAAGAGAAGAACGATAATGAGCCTCTGCGCGAGGGTTCAAGAGCGCAAGAATTACGTGCTCAGCTTCGCGAAGCCCGAGAAGAGAACAAGAAAAAGGACGAAGAATTGCGCAAACTCAAACAAGAATTCGAGGCCTACCGCAACGAAACACAGGCCCATAATGCAGACACAAATGCGGTTCTGGAAAGGGCGCATACAAAGATTGCCGAACTTAAGAAAGAGATCAAGACACTCAAGTCGGGAGATCACGATGCTCATGAGCAAAACGATGAGGCCGCACGACCGAAGAGCTGGCATATTCAATCAGACGCTGGTCGCCTGGCAGATGAAAGCCCAAAGCCTAGAAATGTCTCATCAGACGATAGAGACCTCAGGCGCAACATGGCGCGCCGAAGTTTCGACTTGGCTGAATTAGAAGACGACACAATGGAGCTTAGGCTTACAGACCCTAACATTCATTCACTACGTCAAAAGTTCTCCGATGATGCTCCTCCAAGACTTAGCAAATCTGATATTGGTTCTTCCAAGCCAACTTCATCAAGTCTCGGTGGAAAGCCAGACATTGGTCGGCCTAGATGGCAACCGTTTGTCCCGCGATCGCCAAGGAATCGAGCATATCTTGGCGAAGAAATCACCAAGCGTATCGAGAACGGGGGCGAGACTCCCGGACGACCAAACTTCGATGAGATTACTGTACCTGACTTACCTGCGCTTGCTAAGTCGATTGCTCGGTCGAAACGGACGTCTTCCACCGAAGCGGATGAGAAGATCGACTTGTTGCAGGATCGTTATGCACGCCTCGGAGGTCCCGATCCGAACCACAGTGCTATCGCTGCCAATGCATCAAAACTACCGCCTGAGCGCAGAGCTGCTGCCATCGCGCGAATTGAACAGAGAATGGCAGAAAAGAGACGTGAGCGTGGAAGAAAGGGATTCGACAAGGAGAATGTTCGACCTTGAGTGAGATAAAGATAGTCTACCCATACTGTACATACAAGATACCAGGACTGTGTTGAGCTTCAGCGAGGGAAGGTTAGGATTGAGATGTTTTTAACGTGGCTGCTAATAATTGTACGTCGATCAGTATGATAAAGACTGAATGGGTTTGGATTCGGCATTGGCATGGAGTTCCGGGGTTGTATTTGATAAATATCCCAGTTGTTGGATTTACATGATGAAGCTTGTCATGGTTATGGGTTTGATAAAGGCCGAGTCTAGAACCTTTTTAACTGCCTCGGACTCCTTATCTCGCCGCGAGCCATTTTTGATACTCAACTTAACTTTGTAAAATAACTGAAATTCTCATAATGCCTTCTCAAATAATGATACCGACTGATGCCGACCTCATCCAAGATGAGATTTTTGAATTAGAAAAGCGTCTTCACGAAGCGAAGGCGCGTCTTAACAAACACCAACCATCGCCACCCCTGTCACCTACTCGTAAGTCACTACTCATACTTATAGATAAGGGGCATAAACTCATAATTCATAGCTCATGCTGCCGAAACAACTCATTTCTTGCTTCTATTGTCAGATTCGGCACTTCCATTGGGTTCATTCGCCTTTAGCAGTGGTCTTGAGTCTTATCTGGCCCATGAACCTCGCGGTACAGCATCGTTCACCAACTTTCTTCCGGCTTCGTTATCCTCATTCGCTGCGACAACACTTCCTTTTGTTCTCGCAGCACACAGGAACCCAGAAAAACTTGTGGAGTTAGACGATCAGCTTGATGCTGCTATCATATGCACTGTAGGCCGACGTGCTAGTGTCGCGCAGGGTCGTGCATTGCTGGGAATATGGGACAAATCGTTTCGGTCAAGTTGTCCGAACGTTGATGGGCGCGCATTACGGGAATTCGCGGACCTTTTGCGAAAGGAGAGCCAGAATGAGGTGCCATTGGTTTCTGGTCATCTGGCTCCGCTCTTCGGAGCGATATGTTCCCTTGTCGGCCTCGGGTTGCGACAGACAGCATATGTCTTTATGCTGAGTCATGTCAAGGCCTTGATCTCGGCTGCTGTGAGAGCCAATGTTTTCGGCCCTTATCATGCGCAGAAAGTGTTAGCCGGACAGCAGGTCCAGAGGATGATTGACGATATGATCGACCGAGAGTGGATGACCCCTGTGGAAGAGGCCGGCCAAACAGTGCCTGCTATGGATCTGTGGATCGGAAGACACGAGATCCTATACTCGAGGATATTCAACAGCTAAGTAATATTCGCTGTTCGGGTGGTATCATTACTGTATATATCTATGCATTTTTAAATATTAATCAAAGCGCCTTGTCCCTATTCATCATCACTGTCGCTGTCGCTGCCGTATCCCACCAAAGGTCCTGCTGAAGCTGCGGCCTTGGGTTTCGATGCCACCGCTACCTTTGCCTTATTAAGAGCCGCAAGGGTACTGCCTGAGAAGATGCCACCGGTCTCTTGCTGCGGTTGCTGTTGTTCCTGCATCTGAACTGGTGCCTCGCTGGCCTCTCCGTTTTCAATCATTGGTCGTTCCTGGTACTCCACCTCGAAGCCTTCTCGTCCTAGGGGGTTGACAGATTGAGCTCCTCGAGCAAAGTGAACTTCGTCAGGGGCCTCGTATCCTTCAAGGCCATAACTGCTCTCAATCTTCCGTCTCTTTCTGGCCTCAGGGTCTCGACCTTCGATCTCGGCGACGAACTCAGCAGGGAGAGCTCTGCGAATGGCATCGGCGGCCTGTTCTTCAATCCTGCGCGCCTCTCGTGCTTGCGCCATGGGGTTCGGGTCGGCAGTTGCCCAGCGAACGTTTAGAACTTCTTCGTGGTCGAGCGACTGATGCGCCATGGCCTCTTTGGCGAATTCCGCGTTGGCCTGGTTGACGTATGTGATGAAAGCGACACCCCTTGTGTTGAGGACACGAACTAGTCATGTTAGTACATGTCTGCTGTCTGAATTTGGTGATAACTTACTGCGCTCGACAGGGCCCCATTCTGCGAAATGTCGCGCCACAATCTCTTCGATATCATCGGTGACGTGAATTCTACCCACGTAAACTGTTCGGTTTTGCCTCATGAAACTTCCTACACCACCCATATCATCTCGGTAGTCGGAGAACTTGTCGCGTCCAAAACAGTCGACGTTGGGATTGAAATGATCGTAGTCGCCTGGCAATCGGTGAAGGAAATCGCAGTCTTGACCTTTAGGGCAAATTCCACGCGCAAATCGCAGGCAGAAGAAGCTTCCAGGTATCGAGTCGGCCTTCGTATATCCGCTGTCTTTTGAGACATTGCAGCGGCCTTTCGCCTTGGTCTTGGAAAGGTACTTGTCTTCTCGATCGCCACCGGACCATTTGTTGTACCAAATATTGAAGATCGTACCGGTCTGAGGAGGAGGTTCTGATGTGAAGAAATCGGGGTCGACTTGGGCTCGCGCAGGTCGCTTCTTCTTGCGAATAATCTTCTTGACAACCTTCTTTCCAGTTGGCGCCGCGACTTCGTTATTTGTTGTCGCTACTGCCATTTCCTGGTTCTCCTGCTCAGCGACCGGCGCCGTCTCGATATGTTCCGCGATGTCGGCCATGTTTTCGAATGTGGAAGATGAATTGTCAAAAATTCGTTGTGATGGCAACGCGACGAGCCTGTGCTGCTGATGATGCAAGGCTATAAAAGATTCTGGGGGAATAGTTGAGTTTCGAAAGAGGAAAGCGGTGAAGCTGACCTTCCACACCTGTGGAGCTTGATATTTGAATTCTGCCACCACTTCATCAGGCCTCTTAACCCCCCACTCATGATTTAGATCTTGGACAGGCGCCGAGGACTCGAGACTTATACCCTGCTTTATTTGTCTTCCATTTTCAAGTTGTTCTCAGAGACGCACCAGCGTCTCAAACAACCGTCAAGATGGTGAACATTACGGAAAAGATCAAGGAGTACGTTGGTCCTTAGGTACAATGGCGGGGCATCACTGATATGGCGACAGGATTGAGGAGGAGATGAAGAGGACGCAAAGTAAGTGAGGGACACAATTTTATGAAAATTGGTATATCAAGTTCTTGTGAGAGGTCTATGTGAAGGCTTTGGGGAAAGGATTGTAACGGTCACCCCCAACTCATCATACGGCCTACTCTCAAAATGGACTTGACTGCTCATACAGTCATGAAACGGAATATTCATACTTCTTATAATGGACATTTGCTGACTTATTGTTAGAAAACAAGGCGACTGGTATGTTTCTATCGTTATTTTATTTGATTTCGTAGGAGTGTTAACGCAACTCAGAATATCACTTGGGTCTATTAAAAGGGTAAGTCCCATCATATGAAGGATCGCTTCTGTTTTCGATCATTTCATCAGTTATCGAGTTTCAATGTACTGAAAACCCACAGAAAGCTCGCTCGATTAAGGGCGCAGCTGCTGGAGCCTGGTCCAGGAGCCGGAGGTGGCGGCGGTTCAGGTTTCGATGTCAGCAAAAGTGGTGATGCGCGAATTGCCCTTGTCGGTTTTCCGTCAGTAGGAAAGTCAACGTTCCTATCAAAAGTCACAAAGACAAGGTCCGAGGTTGCTTCCTACGCTTTCACAACCTTGACAGCCATTCCAGGTGTGCTCGAGTATGGTGGTGCTGAGATCCAGCTTCTCGATCTTCCTGGTATTATCGAGGGTGCTTCCGAAGGCAAGGGTCGAGGACGACAGGTCATCTCGGCTGCCAAGACCAGTGATCTTATTCTCATGGTTCTCGATGCTACCAAGAAGGCTGAGCAAAGAGCGTTGCTGGAGGCTGAGTTGGAAGCAGTCGGTATCCGCCTCAACCGAGAGCCACCGTAAGTGCTTAAGTCAAGACAGTCTTGAATTGCTATTAATGTGAGACTCGCAGCAACATTTACCTCAAGGTTAAGACGGCGGGTGGTATGAAGATCACATTCCAGTCCCCTCCCAAGAAACTGGACGAGAAGATGCTTTACAACATTCTTCGTGATTACAAGATCCTCAACTGTGAGGTTCTCGTCCGTGACGAGAACGCTACCGTTGACGACTTCATCGATGTCATCATGAAGGACCACAGAAAGTACATCAAGTGTCTCTATGTCTACAACAAGATTGACAGTGTCTCACTCGACTTCCTCGACAGGTTGGCTCGCGAGGATCACACAGTCGTGATGAGTTGTGAGGACGATCTGGGTATTCAGGATGTCATCGACAGATGCTGGAAGGAACTCAAGCTGATCCGCATCTACACCAAGCGCAAGGGTGCAGAGCCCGATTTTGGCGAGGCTCTGATTGTGCGCAGCAACAGCACTATAGAAGATGTATGTGATCGCATTCACAGGACTCTCAAAGATACGTTCAAGTATGCCCTGGTGTGGGGTGCTAGTGCGAGACATGTTCCTCAGCGAGTTGGTCTGAGTCACCCCGTGGCGGATGAGGATGTTGTGTTCATCAACACCGCCTGGAAAGCATAAACGCATGCGTCTCTGTCTTATAAAATTCAACAAAGTCATTATGTCCAATATTGCATTCAATGCTCCGTGTATCAAAACCATGATTTATTGGTATGAATCGTATATAAACCGGCCACCAGAAAAGAAGCCAAGCCAAGCCCTGTCATCACATCATGTCATTACAAGCCAAAGTGTTCAATCCTACACCACTATTAATGTGCGTGTATATGTGTACGTCCAGTAAACCCCAAACGCCCTAAACCAGACCTCCAGCGGTTCATATAAACACCGTGGGCTAGCAATCACTAGCCAACAAAAAAGCAAAAGGCGTATCCCGAAAAGGTGGAATATGCTCTAACTGAAGAAGAAGAAAGAGACGTTGCCGAATGCTCTATAGCTGGAAAGCAGCCTTAGCTGGTGCTGGCGTTGCGCCGAAGGGGTTGTCGCCTTGGAGCTTCTTAGCGCTCGCTTGGGCGAACAATGACTTGGGCTTGGCCCTGTAGAGTTTGTTAGGTGTTTGATGCAAGAGGGTAGAGCAGAAAGGGAAGACGAACTTGTTGGCGTGCTTGTTTCGTAGAGCGTTGATCTTTTTGGAGGCAGGGCTCATGATGTTGTCTGATGGCGAGACGTACTTGTCGGCACTGCTTCAGCGTTAGTTACTGATACTGCTTCATATAGACGGAACTACTTACGTCTCGTCCTCAGCCATCTTGGTTTGGAAAGCCTGGCGGTGGTACTCCATGCTCTTGACGTCCTTGACAGCGGGCTGCTCAGTCATGGTGGCGTTGACGTCCTTATCGGCGAGAACCTTGGCAGACATGATGAAAGTGTGTAGTGAAGTGGAAAGTGTGTAAGTTGAAAAGAGATATTCTCGAGTGTAGAGAGAGATGTGTAGTTAACGGTTGAGTATGTGTGTGTGTGTGTGTGT